GTTTCGTTTTCAAAGCATCAGCCACATTGTCAACATCTTGGTAAGTGCGATTGAAAATCCTTTCAGTCACACGGTTTTTATTAGCTTTAGTCGTTTAGTAACTGTAGAGATGTAAGGCTCATATGGCAAAGCCCGGTAGTTGCGTTTTTGATCTTTATGTTTGCAGTATGTCACGTTTCGAGCGTTAGCCCTTCGTTCAAGCAGTTGATGAAGTCAGCAGAGGTGGCCCAAGTTCACGCCTCGTGAAAAAGCAAACGATTAATTCATGAATCACTCCCACAAGAAAACGAAAAGTTCATGAGTACAATGAGTCAATGTTCACGGACAGTTAGCTTACTGTTTGAGGACAGAAGTTTTAGTTGTACTCTCGATCTCATCGATCTCGTAAAGCAATCCAATGGTTCCAAAAGGGATGAACACTGAAGCCTGACGTTTTGATTAAACAGAGTAAGATGTTTCATTTTTGGACGCTACGATCCATCCATTATTAGTCAGAAAAGTGTAACGTGCAAAACCGAAATGCAGTCACTCAGTTCTTTTTGGCAATTCTGGCTTCGATCATACAAATCACACCCGCTAGAAAATGAAAAGTTTAGGAAGACGATGAGTCAAAAATAGGTTACCGTTTGAAGAAAGAAACTTACTTAGGTTGTACTGTGACCGATCTTGTGATGTAAATCAAACCTTTCAAAGAGTTAACAGTTAAGCTTAACGTGCCCCATAAAAAATAGAAGAAAACTTTTTATTTTTCATGTTTAATTACTTTATTAGTGACAAAAGTGTGACGTACAAAACGGAAATACTGTGCTTTTCTTGATTGAGTGGTAGGAGCGCAACGTGGTCCTTGGTTAATGACCGAGAGCCCAATATTTTCCCGTTCGGCCCAACTAAACTCAGTCAATAAGCATTTTATCATATGACCACTACTTGTTGAAAATTTCGACCTAAATAGGGCGCGATACACGGGCATACGAGCACAAATCTTTTATTTTTTTGTCTGTTTAAGCGCCAGAGTCTCGAATAAGAAAATAAGTCAGGACGCTGCGCGCCCACGAAGAGAGATGTTTTAATTTTCTCGCAGGAACTAAGACTATTTTAAATCAGTGCGATTGTATACATAGTATAAGCGTATTTTTCCCTTGATCGGATGCTTCATATCTCCACCGTTGAATGGCTTTCTTCAAACCGTTAGGGTTTTTTACAATATATTTCAACCTCATTAACTAAGATTGCTAATTTGAGAAACTGATGGTGTCCACAATCACGTGATCAAAAACTAAAATCGACCTTCTGTTAAGACATATTTATCATGCAGAATGTCCTTTACTGATGTCAGCAGAGGCGATTAATCCATGAAAGCGTCACGCGTTGTGACTCGGTGTTAAGTTACGAGGGTTGAAAAAAAAATAAAAGTGTGACGTGCAAAATCGAATTAGATCCACTGCGGAGTAAACTTTGTTTTTGCAATATGTAGTTATGTCTCGTTTCGAGCGTTAGCCCTTCATTAAAGCGGTTGATGGCACGATTGAATCGCCACCACAGTGAAGTAAATTCGTTATTCAGTGGTTTTCTCAAATCTCTGTAGCTTTATACCATATAATTTATCCTCATTAACTAATATTTTTGAGTATTGTTCAATTTGAGAAATTGATGATCATAAAACTAAAATCAGACCTCTATTTATGTTGTGGACTGTCCCTCGCTGAAGGAAATCCGTGGTGCTTGATCACGTGGTTTTCCAGTGGCTATGACTCTACATCAGCTATCAACTTGAATCTGTTTAGGAGGGTTGAACGAACGATTCAGAGATCGCGCTCGATTCGATATGCCATATTTCTACTTATACACAAGCGTTTCATTGTCGAGATACCCTTCACTTAAACCTTTGGATGCTAAAGGCGGGTTCTACGGTATATATTTTTCCTAAAGCCGTAATCTGTTTTTTGTCCGTTTAAGCGCCAGAGTCTCGCATAAGAAGATAAGTAATGACTCTGCGCGCTCACGAAGAGAGATGTTTTTAATTTTCTCAGAGGACTGACACTTTCTCTTTATCGCATACATAGTATAAGCGTACTTTACCGTTGAACGGATGCTTTATATCTCCACCGTTAAATTTCTTTCTTCAGGCCTTTATGGTTTTATACAATATATTTCAACCTCAGTAGTTAAGATATTGTTAGACACTGTTTAATTTGAGAAACTGATGGTTTCGACAATCACGTAATCAAAACTTAAAATCAATCCCATATTAAGACATATTCATAATGCAGAATGTCCTTTGCTGATGTCAGCAGAGGTGGTCCAGGTTCACGTTCTCGTGAAAAAGCAAACGATTAATTCATGAAAGAGTCGCGGGTTGTATGACTTGGTGTTAAGTTACGAGAGTTGAACATGTTATTGAGAATAAAATGGGGAGCGAAATATGGTCGATTTAGAACGAGAAATATTTCGAGAAATTAACATTTAACACGTAAAATCAATAACAGCACACACATCTTGTGCATCCATAGTAGTTTCTGGCGATTTCTGCCGTTTTAAGCTTGCTTTGCCATCATTGTTATTCCCATCCCCACAGTGACACCTCGCATTTATCTATCGTCCCGATCAACCAATCAGACAGCTGTCCCCGTGATATGTCTGCAATTCCTGATCCATAATAGGAATGCACGGCAGAGGCGGCACCAGGATCGTGCATGCTCTACCACTGGAACATACCACAAAAACCTTTTTCCAGCCGCTTGAAAATTCCTTATTATTTCCCTTACCACAGTAGACTTACCAGTTTCCCCCTTGGCCAGTCACTAAAAAGTTATGACCCTTACAAGCCAAGCATACTATCTCTGCCCAACCGTGAGATAAGCGAACGCTCATATCGACGACATGCCAGTAACCACCAAACTACTCTACTGAATATCACGAAGAACCAGTTGTCAAAGGAAGAAAAATTATAAAATAACATAAAGAACTTCACTTGACGATCTGCGTGCTCACTGAATAGGTTGAACTAATCGAAATTTTATTGTCCTTTACAATGAGTTCCGGTGACTAAATTGACATTAACCCCAACGTAACTTAAGGGGGTAGATCAAGTGTAATTCGGTCAAATCTTGCAGGCTTTTCCTTTTTTCCAGATTGAAGTTTTGTGACATCACCTGGCAAAACATTGTAATTTCATAGGCCATGTATGGAAGGGTAAATGCAATCGACGTTAGGGCATCATGTGGACAATCATATTTAAAACGCAGCATGTAAGACTTCACATATAACGTGAGCGCTAATTACAGTCAATTTCACCTTGCCATGAATTTCAAAAGCAATCTACTAATCATCTTGAACCTTTGCCTTTGTTTACTCTTTTATGATTCGCTTCACGGTCAATTTCACTGCATCTCTTCCTTTCGACAGTTTTTTAAGAGAAAATAATTCAAGCTTTTAGGCAAGACATTTAAAAATGTCTTGTATTATTCATGAACAAGAAATAAGGATGCTTGATCCTAGGAAGTTTCATTACATATACGTTTTGAAGGCCGGAACAAAAAGGTTTTCGAGTTTCTTCACGTGATCAGTAAAGCCGTAAGTTCTGTTCGATCATAAAAAAAAACGAGATCAAAGTTACTTATATCCAACAGCTGTCATCTTCCTCTTATGGGTCATCCCTGCCCAAACTCTTTCTACTGAGTGTTAGCAACAGCAACGTGGCCTTCATGACATATGGCGCGATGAATCCAAAGGGATTGAAGATGGGATAAACAGCTGACACAATCCCGCTTCGTGTCATTGGTCTCTGGTTCGCTAGGTGCAATATCTTCTCCAATACCTCCAATGCAAACTTGTCTTTCTCTGTATTCCACTGGAGGTCAAGAGCACTATCTATAGGAAGTCGTTCAAGCTATACATTAACCACAGATTTGGCTTTTCCAAACCCCAGGATCGCAGCCAGCACTTCTCCATCATTACTATACCACTTCCTCAAGCGAAAACCGCCTTTCTCTAACAACCTGCGCAGTTGAATTGCTAAATTGACTGCTTTCTTTGTGGAACCTGCTGACTTCATCATGTCATCTGCATACATGCTGCACTTCACAGGGCCGTAGCTAACATGAGACAAGACGAGGCAATTGCCTCGTCTTGATTTTGGTCTAAGATTAACTTTTCCGGAGTTCTTCAAAACTCTGAGGCCTCACAATATTTTCAAATATTCCATGTCATATTGTGGAATGTCAAGAAATCTTCCAGAGAGTTGTTGTAAAAGGTTATCTCTCTCGTTAGCTTAACAATTGAAACGCTTAAAACTTGAATGCATGTAGCTTGATTCCAAGACGCTTTATTGTAAATACGTTCTGACGGCCGGTAAAAATGCAGATAGAATACGAAGCATTACATTTATACGGCAGACCACTCTTTACTGGTTTCTTTGCGGAATACTAGCAACACAACATCATTGATTCCTCAAGATTATCAAATGCTTTATTGGAGGGCTAACGCTCGAAACGTCAGCCTCAGAAACTCATTACGATGGCCAATTTACATTGTCAACTCAATTGGTAAAGCCAAATAGTTTTGTAATACCCCACCAAAGTTTATTTCAAAACTTACCCCGTTGATTAATGTTGTTTATAAAAACTATGCATAGGAAAAGTTCTCATTGTAAAAGTTAAGATAAATGCTGTCAGTTTTGTTTATCTTTGTCCTGAGACTTTAAAGTCATGTAATGTTCTGCAAAAATCACAACTTGAGTAAAATGAAAGGTGACAAACTTATTTATCTTCACTTATTTTTTTGTTTTAAGGGGATATTGTGAATTCTAACACTTTCAGCTTGTTACAAATAGTTTCCGGGTGTAATCGACCCAGCCCGTTTTTGTAACTTAACATGTGTGTTCCTGGTTGTAGTGACTCGTTATTAATCCAGATTATCGACTCATTTAGTATTGTGTTACTAAAAATAATGTTTCCCTGAATACAGGAGAGGATGGCAATGGAAACCTAACAGCGGAAGCCATGACACCTTTCATGAGCATCGCCTTATTTGTTGCCCTGTTCTTGCTCAACTCAGATCGCATTCAGAAAGCCATTGAGATATGCAGCGAATGTTTGATTTTGCTAAATAGCACCGATCAAAACAGCAAAGACCAATTTGATTCAGTACTGCTACAATTTTACAGCGACATCTATACCGTTCTTTTCAGCGCTTATCGTCATATCTCTGACGACATAAGTGCGGAAAGATACGGGAGGAAACTGTTTGACTTATACAGCGAGTCTGGAATTATGCTTTATAAATTTGGTGAAAACCTAAGAGCGAAAGAATATGTTGGGAGGGCCCTTGCCATAACAACAGAAATTGGCGACAGAAGCGGAGAAGCATCCTGTTACGGAAACCTAGGTGCTGTGTTTCAGTCGCTTGGCCAATACGACAAGGCTAAAGAGTATCTCCAAAAAGCGCTTGTCATCACAAATGAAATTGGCGACAAGAAAGGGGAAGCAATATGTTATGGAAACCTAGGTACTGTGTTTCAGTCGCTTGGCCAATACGACAAGGCTAAAGAGTATCACCAAAAAGCGCTTGTCATCAGAACTGAAATTGGCGACAGGGAAGGGGAGGCAACTGACTACGGAAACCTAGGTACTGTGTTTCAGTCGCTTGGCCAATACGACAAGGCTAAAGAGTATCACCAAAAAGCGCTTGTCATCACAACTGAAATTGGCGACAAGAAAGGGGAAGCAATATGTTATGAAAACCTAGGTACTGTGTTTCAGTCGCTTGGCCAATACGACAAGGCTAAAGAGTATCTCCAAAAAGCGCTTGTCATTACAAATGAAATTAGCGACAAGAAAGGGGAAGCATCATGTTATGGAAACCTAGGTACTGTGTTTCAGTCGCTTGGCCAATACGACAAGGCTAAAGAGTATCACCAAAAAGCGCTTCTCATCAGAACTGAAATTGGCGACAGAGAAGGGGAGGCAACTGACTACGGAAACCTAGGTACTGTGTTTCAGTCGCTTGGCCAATACGACAAGGCTAAAGAGTATCTCCAAAAAGCGCTTGTCATCAGAACTGAAATTGGCGACAGAGAAGGGGAGGCAACTGACTACGGAAACCTAGGTACTGTGTTTCAGTCGCTTGGCCAATACGACAAGGCTAAAGAGTATCACCAAAAAGCGCTTGTCATCAGAACTGAAATTGGCGACAAGAAAGGGGAAGCAATATGTTATGGAAACCTAGGTACTGTGTTTCAGTCGCTTGGCCAATACGACAAGGCTAAAGAGTATCTCCAAAAAGCGCTTGTCATTACAAATGAAATTAGCGACAAGAAAGGGGAAGCATCATGTTATGGAAACCTAGGTACTGTGTTTCAGTCGCTTGGCCAATACGACAAGGCTAAAGAGTATCACCAAAAAGCGCTTGTCATCAGAACTGAAATTGGCGACAGAGAAGGGGAGGCAACTGACTACGGAAACCTAGGTACTGTGTTTCAGTCGCTTGGCCAATACGACAAGGCTAAAGAGTATCACCAAAAAGCGCTTGTCATCAGAACTGAAATTGGCGACAGAGAAGGGGAGGCAACTGACTACGGAAACCTAGGTACTGTGTTTCAGGCGCTTGGCCAATATGACAAGGCTAAAGAGTATCTCCAAAAAGAACTTGTCATCACAACTGAAATCAACGACAAGAAAGGGGAAGCATCATGTTATGGAAACCTAGGTACTGTGTTTCAGTCGCTTGGCCAATACGACAAGGCTAAAGAGTATCTCCAAAAAGCGCTTGTCATCAGAACTGAAATTGGCGACAGAGGAGGGGAGGCAACTGACTACGGAAACCTAGGTACTGTGTTTCAGTCGCTTGGCCAATACGACAAGGCTAAAGAGTATCACCAAAAAGCGCTTGTCATCAGAACTGAAATTGGCGACAGAGGAGGGGAGGCAACTGACTACGGAAACCTAGGTACTGTGTTTCAGTCGCTTGGCCAATACGACAAGGCTAAAGAGTATCACCAAAAAGCGCTTGTCATCACAACTGAAATCGGCGACAAGGAAAGGGAAGCATCATGTTATGGAAACCTAGGTACTGTGTTTAAGTCGCTTGGCCAATACGACAAGGCTAAACAGTATCTTCAAAAAGCGCTTGTCATCACAACTGAAATTGGTGATAAGGAAGGGGAAGCAGCACATCTTGCAAACCTTGGAGAAGTGTCTAGAACTGTTGGTAATTATGAAGCTTCGGAAGTATGTTTGGAGAAAGCTCTATTCATATCCAGAGATATTGGAGCTGGAAGAAGAGAGTTCGAAATCCTTCGAGGCTACGCCATTTTGTATTTATTTCAAAAAAAAACCAAAGACTCTCTGTCGTGTCTTCATCTGTGCATTGAAAAGTATGAGGAGCTGAGATATTTTTTGGGCGCCAATGATGAGTTCAAAACATCATTGCTGGAGCACTCAGGAATATTTCCCTACAAGCTGCTTTGTGCTTTGCTCTGTGACACCGGAAATGCTCAGGATGCTCTCTATGTTGAGGAGTTGGGTCGAGCTAGAGGCCTATCAGACTTAATGGCAGAGAAGTACTCGGTTGAAACGCACATCTTTGCTAATCCACAATCTTGGTTTGGCATTGAGAACATTTTAAGAAAGAAAAATAACTGTACTTGTCTGTACATTTCTTATTCTCAGAATCTTCTGCATTTGTGGATCTTGAAAACAAGTGAAGTCCTTCACTTTAGAAGAATATCAGTAGAAGAGAATCTAGTTCAGGCTGGGTTGCCCAAATATTTGTCTTTGAGTCAATTTTTGGATGGTAATTTCCGGGGTCTTGGTATTTTGCCTACTAAAGATTGTGAAGATCGGTCTTTAAATACGATTAGAGTGCAACCTCTCTCCCCCGCACAAAAGAGCTCAGGAAGATTGCGACTCGTCGAGGAGGACGAGGATAAGGAAGTCATTTCAAGTCTATCTTTGTGTTACAAAATGTTTATTGCTCCCGTTTATGATTTGCTGGAGGGGCCTGAAGTCATCATCGTTCCTGACCGCAGTTTGTACAAAGTTCCATTTGCTGCGCTGAGTGAAAAGGAGGGAGCCGAATACCTCTCGGAGACTCATAGGATCCGTCTCATTCCTTCTTTGACAACACTCAAGATTATTCAAGATAGTCCAGAGGGCTATCACAGTAACACTGGTGCCTTGATAATAGGCAATCCCAAGGTTAATTGGCTGCCGTCATTGCCATTTGCAAGAAAGGAAGCGGAGATGGTTGGACGACTGATGCGTGTTCCGCCTCTGGTAGAAGAGAAAGCAACGAAGCAGGCGGTGCTTGAGCGGATAGGTTCAGTGAGCCTGATACATTTTGCTGCCCATGGTAACGCACAAAGAGGAGAAATTGCCCTCTCCCCCATTCCTATTCCCAACAGTCAAAATGCTATCCCACCACAGGAAGCTTACATGTTGACGATGGCTGATGTCTCACGAGTGAAAGTCAGAGCTAAACTGGTGGTACTTAGCTGCTGTCATAGTGGAAGAGGTGAGATAACAGCCGAGGGAGTTATAGGAATTGCCCGTGCGTTCTTAGGATCTGGTGCTCGCTCGGTGTTAGTTGCACTGTGGGCCATTCCAGACTTAGCAACGGAGCAGCTGATGAATCGGTTCTACAAACACCTTGTTGAAGGAGAAAGTGCCAGTGAATCCCTTCATCAGGCCATGAAGTGGATGAGAAAAAACGGCAGGAACAAAATGTCTGAGTGGGCTTCGTTTACGCTGATTGGAGATGATGTGAGGCTCGAGTTTGACAAGCAGAGGTAAGACTCGGTGAGAACAGGTATTTCATAAATGAAAGCTAAATTAGATGTGAAGGTGGCTATGACTTACTGGTCTCTGACTTTCGGCGGGAATCCCTTGTCACCTTGAATACCAAGGCTGGTTTTATACCATTTTTTTTGGTTTCTTTCAAATAGTAATAACTGATTCTCCCAGTTAGCTGTAAAATATAGAATCTTGAAAGCGCCTTTCTGCCAATCAGATACAAATGCACATTTGCCTATATATTAATATATTGCGCCTGGTATAACTGTTTATTTATAATTGTTTTTTTTTACTTTTGTTGTAGGAAAGAGGATGAGAATATCTCGAAGGAAACAGACCTTAGAGACTTTTAAATGGATAAACAAATGGAATAAGTAAAGAATATACTATATCCGTTATTTTATTGTGTAATGAAAGAACGGGCAATCTTTAATTAAGCATATTGATTATAATTTTTTTGCGTTTTCTTTTCCGATCTTCTCAGAAGGAGGTATTGGTTACGTATTCGAGAGAGATTTTATACTGCGCAAAAATTATTTTATCCGGCCGATATAAGTAGCACGAAACATTATTGACGAAGGGCTCTTAAGTAAAGTGAAATCAGGAAAGTTGAAACAGTAGTTTAAGCATCAAAAATGAGCCAGTTGTCTTAAAGGGTTTTCTCTCAAAGCCTTTAATTTTTTTTGTTATAGGTTTCGTTCACAGAATCCTAAATTTTTGACAAAAAGTCTTAAAAGAAACCTTTCCTTATGGTCATTTCCAGTACCACTTCTTAGTGCTTAAAAGACTGAAAAATACATGGATTACTAAATAGGACCGTGGAAAAAGCTATCAAAGTCGAGAATTGTATTACTATAAAGTGCAAAATTTACGGCAGCAATATTTTAAAACTGGTTCAATAAGTCACTTACGCATCGTAATGTTTGATACGTTATAATGTTTTCATGGTGATTTAATCGTTTTCAAGTCAGGTTATTGTCAGAAAGTTGGTTTGGGAATAAAAGTGTTCTTGTTTTTACCACACTTTTATACACTCCTCTTTTTTGGGAAACTTTCCTAAGGGATTATGTAGTAATTCCAAAGACGCTAAAATAAAAGACAGCTTGAGAGAAATCTTAGAAAATATCGTGAGCGTCTGTTTTAACCAGGTTACAGAGTAAAACAGAAAGCACTGTTGTTCATTATTAAGGCGTGCAATTCTCTGATCGTTTCTCCTCCACCCATGTGACTTGATTCTCGTCTTACAATCAAAAAAATTCTGGCGATGAAATTCTGGTGATCAGCATTCCAATGTCAAATAGTAATCCCAATACATGTATCACTAGATATAGCGTCGAATGATCGTATTATCGGAGTCAAACGAGTTTTTTCATCCCTTCATTTGATGTAAATGACATTAATTTCATTCTTGAGGCATGAAAAAGTGATTGCATGCACGAAAAAAGGTTCGATCATGTCACGTTTTCTTGATATGGTGTCCTTCTCGTCTCCTTCTTTAGCTATTTCTGAGGGCGTTAAACATCACACTAATTATTCCGAACGTTAATAAACCTGAATTATGAGTATCAGTGCATGAGGAATTTTCATTCCTACCCCAATCTACACGTCCCAAACCCCTTCCCTCCTCCATTTCGCTCTGCTTAAAAAAGGAAATTAAAGAGATGGATTCTGGCCGGTTTTGTTCGGAAACCTTTCTGTGAGTTATGTTTCTTATGAATCAAGAACATCGATCATTCCTACCCCAATCTACTGGCCTCAACCTCCCTCCCCCACTCCGTTCTGCTTCAAAGAGCGCATATAGTAGTAATCAGTTTACTGGATAAATTTTTTATTCTTTTTGCTCTCGACCAATTAGCCCGCAACAGTTCTCACAGTTATTTTAAAAGCTTTTAATAAGAAATTTCTGTGCAAAATTTTGAAGTCATTCTGAAATTTTGTAGGTAACTGGCTTTTCTTTCTATTCTGGTAGTGTTACGCTTTTTCTAGACCATGAAACGTTACTGTCAAGTGCAATTTCTTGGGCATTTTACTTTACTTCCAATGCACAGAGGCGTAAGTAAAAAGGAACTTAGCAACAGTGCTTAGCAACAGTTAGGTGAATATTTTCCATATAAGGTGATTCGATATATGAACTGATTACCTGAGGTGAGTGAAAAAATTAGAAATGAAATATCCTTGAGAGTGTGTCCACGAGAGCACCAGGCAGTCTTGCTACATGCCATCTCACTGGTTTCAATAAAACTTTGCCAGGTTAAAGGGTCTACCCCAAAACTCAAACAGACAAACTGGTTTCCGGTTTTGGTTCTTTCCGGAGGAGGATAGACCACCTCCTGGTTTCTCTCGTTTTCACCAGGGAAATCGCTTCAAAATGGGCAAAATGTATGAAGCTCTCACTGCGATGCAACAAAATTTGAGAGGGGGTCAATGTTTAGTGACAGTAGGAGACAGACAACTCTGAAACGTCATGTAACTGTCAAAGAGTTTACACTTCTGGTAATATATTCCCCTCTCTCGCAACAGCTCAACAGATAGTATTGATCCTATGCAGGGATATGTGTTATATGTGTATCAGTTGTATTGCGTCCTCATTGTGATGCTTCATAACTGAGCGAGTGTCTAAAAATCCCTCAATTCAACCTAAAACTCGAATTGAGAAAGTCAAGATGGCGCAATTGTCTTGTTCATTTACAACTGACTGTAAAACCAAATGTTATTTTTCTCGCGCTAGCCAGGGGGACAACAGCTCATACCCTTAATTCGTGGGAGTACAACATAAAAGAAAACTTAACAGACGTAAATGTATTCCAAACACGCATTTCGTCCGAGAAGAAGCTTACTCTAGCTCGTATTGGCTTATTTGGAGATTACGAAGGCCACGATTTCACGATATGCCTCAAATATCGTGCACAGGTTGGTGTGTGATTCAGACTTTCGGGATCGTAAGTGCTAGTATCCTCCTCATAAAAATCGAAGACTTAAAGTTGAGAGAGAGGTAAATCTTAAGATGGCAGAAGAAATCAAAGCTCGTGGCGAGTCTGCCAGGTGGCAAAGTGACTGTAAACCTTATAGAACGCATACTGTGAATGTTATCTTAGAGTCAATGAATTAGGAAGAAAGGCAAGAAGGGCACTTACCTGAATATCAATTTTCCTAACTGGTGAGTGTTGACTGCGATGAACTTTTTATGATATGATTGCCAGGGATATTCAGATACGGTAGAGGCGCTCACATAAACAATTTGGAGGCGGGCGATCCTCCCTCTGACTTTGGAACTGCTACAAGTTTATAGCGCAGACTAGCTGGCACAGTTTGGAGCACCTCGAGGGCCTCACTAGGATTATCATACTAGAAGCCTTCGGCTAACTAATTGTAGAAGCGGGTGGTTATCAGCAACGTGTAAAGATCTCTGAACCCGGGCCATCGCGAGAACTACTCAATCAGTCACAGGCAGAAGAAGAAAGCGAGATATTCTTGTCAAGAGGAAGAATGTATCAAAACGTTACAGTCATATTTACTGCCTTCCAAAAGCACCTTAACATAGGCAGACACAAATTGAAGCTGGCAAAAGAATCCGTCTTTGATGAGAGCAAGAGGAAATAGACGGAGGCACAAGGTCGGACCTTAGGCAAAAATTCTGACAACCAATCCCTTACTAGCCAGGTGGACCGCTTTGGATGGGCCCATTGGAAAACACAAAAAGCTTATGCCTTTTTCTCAGAAAGCAAACTGAGAAGTATCTTCCAAACGTGTGCCGGACAGGTGAGGAAACTAATAAGAAGTGTAGCTTCTCAAATATGGAGTTTAAGAGACGACACCGGCCAGAAATGTTGTATAGGACAGACTAGTTCGGATAGAGCAGCAGATCGCTTGATACTTCAGCCGAATATCTGCCTTGACAAAAGCTGGTTTATTGAAGAAGTTTTTCTCTGTAAGTATGAATAAGGACGAAGAGGTTGATGCAGATGATCTAGTTTCAGAAACTGAGCGAACAAGGCAGAAGATCAGAAGGGACCTTGAAAAATTAAAAGGAAGAATGCAAGGGAGGGTAGCTGGCAGCTGCCACAGGCTATAAAATAAATACAGACCTTTGCATCTCACTTTCCTCTCAAATTTATCGTCTTTATCCATGAAAACAACTGGATATGTCCTCGGATTTTTTCATCACGGGAAATTTGCAGGAAGCCTACTGGTCAAAATATTGTTGGCTCATTCTTTGAGTCACGCAATTCAAAGTCGGTAAGTCAACGTCGCAACACTCGATCGAGAGAGATGCAGATTTACATGTAGATATAGGATGCTTTTAAAAAAAGGAAGATATTTTACGATCGAGGTAAGCAGATACATATAGAGACCTGCAGAATATTCTGAAATTTTTGTCTAGCAGACAGCATGAACAGCGAAAAGTATTCGGGTCACGATGCACATCGTGATGCACATGTTAGTTTTGGCGGAGTTCTGCATTGAAGTGTTCGATGGCGGTAAGTGTCAACGACAACACTATTTTAGTTTTATCTCTGGAATAGTAGCACAGTTTTTGAATGTAAATTTTATTTTATATATTTTCTCTCAAGCAAGAGGGCAGAATTTCGCGGCTGTTAAAGCCGAAGTTGTTGCACAGGGAACTTGTATGTCAACCAACACTCCGCATGTGACTTTAAAATCTCCTGAAATGAGTGGTAACAAATCATAGACTAATGAATGTTTTGTGCCATACAAAAGCCATATTTGCTGATTTTAGTAAATCTCCAAAGTAACAAAGGACAAAAGAAAGAAACACTACGATTTCCCATCGACATTTCGCCTACACGCATCTCTCTCGACGTGAAATTAATTTCCATTCCTTAAAAGAAAATCTCGAAAATTGTTCACATTTCTTAGCTTCCTTAATCAACCATCATGGATAACGAGCTGTAACATATAGAGGTTTATAACATAGCTAGTAAATTTGTGTAATCAAATTCAATTGCGCGAGCGTGCTTCATATTCCTATTGTGCACGCTCATGACGTCAGCAATCAAATCCCTCGAGAAAAAAAATTTTCCATCGGGTTGAAAATGTTATAAAACAATTGGTTCATACGTCAGCTGTGCGTTCATCGAGATATGAAGCACTTGGGAAGTTTGGAGTGCACTCAAGAAGCTAGAGTTGCTCTCGGTTACCCCTTGAGAAACTCTTATGCATATTTCGTGCTCTCCAAACTTCCCGCGTGCTTCATAACTCGAAGAACGCACGCTGACGTATGAAGCAGTTGTTAATTATTGGCCCAACTGACCGCTGAGAGCCAGAATTGCGTGACAGGTGTAGTTGATAGAAGCTTCAAATCATAGTCGCAAATTTATGAAATGATGGATTATAAAGGGTAATTAAATTAGTGTTGTAGCTTTCTGGCAAGGAGAGATAGTTGACCTCAAAGATATTAAATATTAGATGAATCAAATAAAAACACAGTCATTTCTTTGCCTCTTTTGATTGACAAGCCATCAATTAAATTGACTGATATTTGCATACTATATTCATTATTGGCTTTTCATATCCTGTTTCCAGCTTTGTCTCCTGCATCTAAAAGCTGATAGTAGCCACTTAGAAGCCTGCTGATACTCTACCAACAGTATAAAAAGTGCTACTTTTTTTTTGCTGAGAAAGAAATGCAAAATTCCACAAAAACCCAAAAGCTACGAACATATTCAACAACAATCTATTCTTGCCCAGTAATTTGAGCAAGGATTTTTCTTTTCGTTTTTATAGAGGGAGCTGGGTTTGTGATTGATATGTGTCAATCAATGAAGTTTCAGTCAGATAGAGAATATTTAGGTCAAAATTATAAAGATACAGGATACTTGAAGAAAAATTCAATGGAATGGAAAATATTTTAAAGAGATGATTGCAGAATATCCAATTGGAACTACAGTGTATAGCAATACAAACTGCTGGAATTAATGGAATACAGGATAGTTAGGCCAATAGTTCATAGGAAATGGTGTACTCAAACTAATTTTTTTCATGGAAACCTGCAAATAATACATTCAAACCTACAATCAAACCTGTTATAAGTAGCCTTTTTGTATTGTCCTCCACCTGACACAAGACACAATAAAATTCCAAACACTGCAATCAACAATCCATAATGTAATTGGTGCATTTTAATTAGTTATTAAACCATTTTTTGTGTATTAATTGTGTGTAAACACAATTAATAAAACATCTCTTCTGATCAACCTACATGTATAAATAACGAATTACATGATATGCAACAAATTTGCTTGCTGATAATTTCACTGACAACCTAACTGTATATATATATTTTTTTTTCAGAATTTAATATTTAATTAATTTAATTTAATCTAATATGTTACATGAAAGACACTTTTCTTTACATATCATTCAGAATGCAAAGTTTCTATGAGCAATAGCATATTTTACATTCCATGTATGGTATTTCATGCCTTAGCCAGTTCCTGACTTTTTTTGGTAGAAATTGCCATTGCAAAGGCAGACGAAACTTTAGGCACAAGCTGAAACATTTCTTCACACTAAGCCTGAAAATTGCAGACGTTAAGAAACCATCCAAAGCATCAGAGGTAACGAATGACTAGAAAAGTACCTGAAAATAAAACTGTGAACACCTATAAAATAAAGTTGACATATTGGCCAATGAAATTCTCAAAGACATTTCTCCAACGCAATAAATTAGTAGCCTCATAATGTCAACAGCAACCAATAGAAACATTGCCTCTTCTGGTGTTTTCTCATAACATTGCTGGCTGAGAGCGAGGTGAGTAGATTACAGAGGAGTTGTAGACAGTTCAGATCAGTTTTAGACCTTTTATATTTCAGCCGACGGTATAACAGTTTCAGTTTAAACCGCTTTAACACGGAAAGATATAAGGTAAGGGATGAATAATTTCATCTTAGTACAGGAAACTTACTATAAATTTGTCTTGGTGTGACCAGAAGAAAATAAAGTTTTTCTTTACACTCTCTTCTGGCACACAGAACACGAACCGATTTTCCGTGTGTCACACAGGACTTCGAGGAAAATATCCTGTACGAAATACATGAAATTGAATTTCAATTCCCTTTATTTTTTGTTTTCATAATTATGTTTGTGGTATACATTTTTTGCAAGTAATTTTCATTTTCTAGCATTCTGAAATTATACAGTTAGAGCTCAAAAAATTTATTTTGCTCAGAATAGATTGTGACAACCATCAACTCGGCAATTTCACCTTAACAATATTGTGGTTTATTTCTTTCAGTTGCACCAGACATGATGAAACTACTGATTTTGGTTTGTCTCCTTGCCCTTCATATGGAGCCTTGCAAGTCAGATTTTACATGCATTTCCCACCAGGATCCAACAATCGCTTGAATGGCGCGGGTGAAAATGTTGCAAACAATGCCAGACTCTCTGATTCACAGGTGGGCCGCCCTTATCCAACACTCAATTTACTTTTTTGCACAAGCCTAAAAAAATTAACTCCTTTTTTTTTCAGCCCAAACGTTTAGATATATTAGAGCATTGCTTCCTTGAAAAGGAGAAATAACGCTCGCCTGAAATGTCGAATTATGTGATCGCAGCGAGACCAGTCTAAATATGGCTAGAGCTTTTCTATTTTAGTTTTAGTCTTGGATTAACTCCAAATTTTTAATTTAAGTAACTTAAAATGTCTTCCCATAATTTCAAGGCTTTAGAGTTCAATTACTCAAACAATAGTCGTAGTTGTTGTCAGTGCTCATAATTCCATGGACTGTAAACGGATCTGCTTTCTAATGGAAGTGTGTATGAGAGGTAGCTTGGAAATTCGTAGGTCTAACAAACTCGTCAGAGCGCATTCTATTTGTCTCTTGAAGTCTAGCAGGTTTTCCGAAGTTCAAAGACGGGGATTTCTAAGAGAGAAGTCAAAACCTATTTCTTTCTTAATAGAGTCAGAACTTCCGACAAAAAAAAAATAATAATAACATTCATCTCTGTTTATTTTCTTTTTAGAACAACGACAAGTGCGGATACAATGTGGGTGACAAATACGATGATAACCCAGGAGACAATATCTCTGAGAACAGACAAGAACCAATGGTAAGGCACACTGATAGTCAGTGAGCTGGAATCGGGGCCAAGGGGTAAAGCCCTGTCAGCGGGGGAACAACACTCTTAGCTACGCCACAGAAACCGCGAGAAACTCCCGTGGAGCGGATCACTAGGCGTGTAAGCTGCCTGACCCTTCTGAAGTAAAACACCTTATTAGATATGCATGTGCATTATATTTTACAATTAGCTTGTAAAAGTTGTGAAAAACAAAGGTGAAAATTTAATTTTTTTTTTTTGGAATTTTACACGAGTAGATGTTCCTCTCATGCGTAAACTGAAGTGGATATCATGCGGACAAATCAGCATGGAACAGGACCAAAGACTGACGACAGGGTAGAAACACAAGTCATTTTAAAGTACATGTGCCAGCCGTTCCCGGATAGAAAGATGCCCACAGGTGATGTGGATGCTGACTACGAATATCACACCATTCGAAATGGTCAAACAGCCACTTCTAACACATTTGCTGACCATTCTCCGGAGTCACATCAAATTTCGAAACATAACGGACTTCATGAGCTGCACAATTACTATCAAGCTTATTATCGCAGATATAGAAATAAAGGTAAGATTTCTGTTTCTCTCTCTCCTTCTCTCTGTGCCTCTACCAATCTTAGTTTAGTATTTGTAAGGTCTTTACCCAAGGGAACAGTTACTGTGGCAACCATCTTACAAGGCAATATTGCTTTCTATCTCTCTCTTTCTCTCTGTGCCTGTATCCATCAATCTTAGATTAGTATTTAGAAGGTCTTTACCCAAAGGGAACAGTTATCGTAGCAACCATCTTACAAATCAGAAAGGTATAAATGCATCAAGAAATTTAGTAATTTGTGTTTCAAAACACCAAATCTGCGTGAAATAAATTGTGTTGTACAAAGAATCGATATGTGTTCAGTAACAGAGAATATTTTTATCCTTCACAGGTTTGTTCACCGCTGACCAACCGCTTGCTGGCGATTTATCAATTTACACACGACAGAATTGTCAAGGTACCATAAGGGGCGTGGACGTCCCCGAAGAACGCGATTACTATCCGTACAGGGGACCCACACCATAAAAGGACATTGCTATCCTTGTCAGCGATGAAAAGACTGAGGGGCTGATGAAGAAATACGTTAATAGTCCCAATTATGGGCTCAAATGTAAGGCATATCACCAGCAATACTCGATCATGATCGTTTCTATTCCTCTGATACTTATTTCTTACTTTCCATTTTAGATATGTGTATTATGTCTAAAGTGCTGAAAGATTAAACTGACTGCCCCTTAGACAATCAAGGTGTTGTTGCTGAAAAATGTGTGGCCAAATACATCACCAGGGACAGGTGTATAGCGGCTAAAGGAACTTGGCAGGGTTCATCACAAATTACTTGGAGAGGACTGCTGGAGTATTGAGCTCTTGTAAAGGTGTGGGTGACATGAAGCTGGCAAAAGGCGTGCCCTACGAGGCACATAAGATATCACAAGGATGTGATAACAAAAAACAGTATGTATTCTTGAAAGACCTCCTGAGGTCCCTGATCTACGCTCCATCTACCGTCGTCAACCACAACGGAATCAACATGGAAGGCAATTTTTCCGCTTACAAATGGAAAGTTCCTTGCTTTCCATCTAACACAACACAGCGTTGTGTTATACGGATAAGGTAAGAAAGATCAAATGTATGTTTTGTAAAAGTTTAATATTTTGCACCCTACTTTCAATGGGAAACCACAGTCTATTAGTTCGTCCAGGAATTTAAATTCTTAAGCAAGTTAGTGACAGGACTGAATAAATTTCCAAAAGCTACACCAGCTTGTGCTATCTTTTTAAATTGTATAGACCACAATGGTGAATAGCGCTTTTCGTACGCGCTGATTGGCTGGTTTGAAAGTGATTAGCAAGTACAGTACTAATCATCTTCAAGCGCACAAGATCTCGCAGGGATATGATAATAAGAAACAATATCTTCTTCTCAACAGACCTCCTCAAGTGATCTACGCTCCATCCACCGTCGTCAACCACAATAAAATCAACATGGAAGGCAATTATCACCAAGTAAGAAAAATGTTAAATCAAAATATGAAGAGTCACACACTGGGCCAGCTTATCAACATTAAAGTTTATTCCATGATAACCACACCGGGTTAAACTCACATCGAAGCATGTACATCAAACTTGCCCAAAGAATTTGATGGAGTGTGACGCTACGATCCTCCCCTCTACAGTCTGCGCTTCTGGCTCGAGAAATTTTTGCTCTATAATCTTTATCGATCTTAAAACTTGATGCAACTTTAACTGAAATGATAAAAAATTCCTGTCAATTCTTTTAATAATTTATTAAGAATTTACTTAAGAATTGTAATTTAAAAATTACAATTTGGAATGACATTCTGTATATTTAGACTAACACTGTTATAAAAAGGTATTCAAACAAGAGAGAACCTTTCATAACTGCAATTGCAAGCACAAAATACACTTGCTTTTATTAAAGTAGAGTTCTTTTATGAGTATTTACATTTACAAAGGCAATAACACTCAACCTCAGGAACAAAACCTCTTTTGTGTTCCATCCCACCTGGTGTTTAAATAATTTTTTTTGTCCTTAATGATGTGGTGACAATAAGGTCGTAATTCATGACTCATCTAAAGTAGATTTAAACTCGAGATATATACATTTTCGTGCTCTTGCCGGGTATAAATCATACTTAATTAGTAGCGTTAGACAGCGCTTTATCTCTTCAGCGGAGCCTTTTCAATATTTCTGAGATATTCCTTCTTTCTTCAGATGTTAAATAGATGAGTTCTTAGCAGCACTACACAAGGCATAGTACTCTTCCTTGGGGGATGCCAATCTATCAAATGTCACTCCCTTCCCAGTAGTTCTTCTTGTACTCTTTCATATCACTGGCTGGATAGATGCATTGTAGAACTCAAGCCGAGTGTCCTCCTGCCCAGGAATAAAACGCACTGAACCTTAAGGGCTTAAACTCGGTATTTTTTTAGCTGATGTTCAGCCTGGGAACCATTTGGCTACTGAGTCTATATGATCCCACAGTAAAGGTGACACAAAAGTCGCGAATCGCCGAGCTCCATAAAATCAAAAGAAAACCGACACTTTTCTACCCTTCATCAAATTAAACTTGTGAGTCTAAAGGATAACTTTAAAATCTGTAGCTAGTAATTTACAATCCAAGTTAATTTTCTCCATCCAAAAGTTAGCTCCATGGAGTCCTATTCCCTTCAGTGCTATCGAGGAGGAGAAATATGTAGAATTGTCACCTGTCGTTTGAAGGACGACACTTCATCACAAATTAAATTTACCACGCCATCCGTTGGCCATCAAATCTAAGAACTACTCTTAGAAACTAAGACGTTATAGCTTAGTATCATAGTTATGTGAATTAGTGGTGTCCATATTTATTCGTTGCGCGGAATCTCTGGCTCTCTCTTAATAAGGATTCACGTTGTCGTCAAATTCCTTCGAAGGAGTAAACTTAGAGCAGGATTTTTGAAGCTCTTATTTGAACATGGGTAACCGAAAGACTTAAAGTATAGGATTTACCATGGAGTTGAAGTATTGCAAAGTCTTTTCAATTAGTAAAGTATAGTATGAGTGGTCACTGGCTACATCTTCAATTGAAGACCATCCAAACACAGCGCTACAAATAATTATAGGTAGCCAACAGAAAGCAGAAACGACAGTTTCAATTAACAATGTATTAGTTAGTTTCTTATTTTGCTGCGCTCGAATTCCGGGAAAATTCTGCCGCGTTTGTTGGCGAATGAGTACATACGAGGCACAGGTGATCGCTAAGGAAAAAAAAAGTCACTAATACCACAATTATGGAAGAGGATTTGGAAAGATGAATCGCATTTTTGTCAAAAAAAAACTGAAAGAAAGTAAAAAATGAACATTATTGCCGCCAGTATCCACACAAATGCAAAGCTGTAGATATAACTAGCGGTGAGAACATCAAGACTCAGCTCCGATTTGTTTCCCCGAGAAATTTAGATGTACTGTATCACTGACTCAGTACGAGCTGTTGGCCACTGATTCAATTCAAATCTCATCAGCCCTTAAGCTCAGTCTTATCCTAGTCTTCCTTAAGAGTAAAAATGAAAATCCCTTAATCAACATGCATTTACGAAGAGTCTCATTCAGTCTTTTTCATCTCTGGTGTAAAGAAGCTTTTATCAAATCAGTTTACATCAGACGACAAACGATGATCCCAACTCCTTTGATTGATCCCCTTTTAGAATAATTCGAATTAAGTATCCAGTATTACATACATTCTATGAACCAGTTCACAATATGGGCGTTGTTGGTTTTTGGCATTGCCATCTTAAGTAGCCCGGTGAAACTTTCTGCGATCTTTTTTGAAGGAAAGCAAATACAAATTACAAATCCTGAAGTAAAGAAGTTTGATTACTTGGTAATGACATGTATTTGTTGGGGCAAACTAGGATCTACTAGCGAGTTTTCCTTTGTGATCGTTTCATAATAAATTTAATTTGCGCCCTTGATTATTACAGAAACGCGTTATGAACAATTTAGGAAATTCTGCAATGATACTTTGCACTGATCTCCATTAATTGGGACTCGATGTAAAAGATAAATGATGACTTGAACTAAGGACACTCTAAGTCGTAGCCAGGGCAATTAGGAAACACTCCTTACAAAAATTTCCGGGAGCCAATACTTTGCTCAGAGAAAGAGTTGCCAGGGCTGCAACGCATAATTTCATCATAGAGAAGCTCAAATTGTTTATTGAAATCGCCGAAGGTGGGAAGAGGAATTCGCGTAAGAAGAGCTCGAGTCATACGAAAAAAGAACATGGGATACACAGGGCACCCAAAAGCTCTCTCTCAGCTTTATATTCCAGTAGTTTATTTTCGCACTTACTGCATGTGTAGCGCAAAAAAGTGCTGCACGCAATGAATTAATCGCGTACGCAAACCTATGCGAAGGTGCAACAAACATAATAACATCTGCAATCAATTAGTTCGTGTCAGTGTCATATGTCACACGAAAGACACTTTTCTTTACATATTATTCAGAATGCAAACTTTCTATGAGCAACATAGAAATTAATTCGTGTCAGTACAATTAGTTCCACGAATTAAAGACACTTTTCTATACATATAATTCAGTTCAAGTGATAACTTGAACTAAAGACACTCTAAGTCATAGCCAGAGCCTTGGCCAGTTCCTGACTTCTTTCGGTAGAAATTATCACTGCAAAAGCAGACGAAACTTTAAGCACAAGCTCAAACATTGCTTCACACTAAGCAAAAAAATTGTAGACGTTAAGAAACCATCCGAAGCATTAGACGAAACGAATAACTAGAAAAATGTCTTGAAAATTTAACTGCGCACACCAACAAATACAGTTGATAGATTGGCTAATGAGATACTCCAAGACATTTCTCCAACGCAATAAATCAGCGAGCTCACAATGTCAACAGCAACCAATAGACACATTGCCTTTTCTAAATGTTTTGCTTAAAACAATGCTTTGAGAGTTAGTTGGGCAGATTGCTTATGAGTTCGAAACAGTAAGGATCAGTCTTAGACCTTTAAGTTCAGCAAATGTTATAGTACTTTTAAAACAGTAAGTTTAAAAAGACATAAGGTAAGGAATGAAGGACTTATTTTATCTCAATGTAGAAACGTAACACAGATGTTTCTTGATAAATGAAAAGAATGAAATGTCTTGTTTACTTTACACCCCATCAAGGCACACGGAAGACAAGCCGCTATCAAGAAAAGGGCGAAAATCAGCTACTTCGTGCGCCACATAGGACATCGAGGTAGATATTCTCTAAGCAATTCATGACCCTGAATTTCGTTTCTTTCTATGTTACACATAATTACGTTTTATGGTTTACACTTATCGCAAGCAATTTTCAAAATTTCCAGCGTTCTGAAAGAACATAGTCAAAAGTCAAAATTTTATTTTGAAAAATTGAAATTGTCTTTTTCTGCAATGGCGTAAATTGCACTTCCCCAGTGAAGATTATTGTATTACTCGAGAATATACTTTAAAATCTTCACTCAATTTCAGTTTGACAATTTTAAAGTTTGTTTCTTTCAGTTACACCAGACATAATGAAGCTATTGATCTTGGTTTGTCTCCTTGCCCTTCATACGAAGCCTTGCAAGTCAGATTTATACATGCATTTCCCGCCAGGATCCAATAATCGCTTGAATGGCGCGGGTGAAAACGTTGCAAACAATGCCAGACTCTTTGATTCACAGGTAGGCCGCCCCTATCCAAGACTTGATTTACTTGCAAAAGCCTAAAATATTAACATCTTTTGTCGGCCCAAACGTTTAGATATATTAGAGTATTGCTTCCTTGAAAAGGAGAAATAACGCTAGTCTGAAATTTCAAATTTTGTGATTGGCGCGAGACCAATCTAAACATGGCTAGAGCTTTCCCATTTTAGTCTTAGTCTTGGATGAACGCCATATATAGCTTAAAAGAAGAAGCTTAAAATGTCCTCATAATTTCAAGGCTTTAACGTTTGATTACTCAAACAGAAGTCGTAGGTGTTTTTATGTTCGTAATTCCCTGGACCGTAAATGGATCTGCTTTCTCATGGAGGAGCGCACGAAAGTTAACTTAAAAAACCTTGGGTCTAATCAACTCGTTAGAGCGCATTCAATTTGTCTCTTAAAGTTCCGAAGTTCAAAGTTGGGGATTTCTAAGGGAGAGCGGTCTAAACCTTTTAGGTAGAAATGTGGTTAATATATTTTTAACCTCAACTCAGCCCAACCTGTTTATTTCTTAGTAGAGTCAGAACTTCTGACAAAAAAACATTCATCTCTTTTTACTTTGTTTTTAGAACAACGACAAGTGCGGATACAATGTGGGTGACAAATATGATGATAACCCCGGAGATTATATCAACGAGAAAAGACAAGAACCAATGGTAAGGCAAGGCAAACCTTAGGTGCTATTAGCTTGGTTTGTAACATGTATGATACTAAAGTGTCGTGCAGAGTATGGGAGAAGATGGATCAAGGTAAAAAGCCCGAGGGGGGAAGCCCTGTCATCGGGGGAACAACACTCTTAGTTACACCACAGAAACCGCGAGAAACTCCTATGAAACGGATCACTAGGTGTGTAAGGTGCCCGACCCTTCTGAAGCAAAGTACATTTTTTAGATGTGCATATGCACTATATTTTACAATTATCTGGTAAAAGTTGAAAAAATCAAACAAAGTTGTATATTTTAATTTTTTCGTTTTTTTGAGGAATTTTACATGAGCGGATGCTCCTCTCATGCAAAAACTGAAGTGGATATCATGTGGACAAATCAGCATGGAACAGGACCAAAGACTGACGACAGGGTGGAAACACAAGTCATCTTACAGTACATGTGCCAGCCGTTCCCGGGGGGCGAGATGCCCACTGGTGATGTGGATGCCGACTACGAATATCACACCATTCGAAATGGTCAAACATCCACGTCTAACACATTTGCTGATCAGACTCAAGAGTCAAATCAAATTTCGAAACATAACGGACTTCATGAGCCGTACAACTATTATCAGGCTTACTATCGCAGATATAGAAATAAGGGTATGATTGCTGTTTATCTCTCTCTCTCTCTCTCTGTACCTCTATCTATCAATTTTAGTTTAGTATTTATGAGGTCTTTACCCAAAGGGAATAGTTACTGTGGCAACCATCTTACAAGGTAAGATTGCCGTTTCTCTCTCTCCTCCTCTCTGAGCCTCTCTTTACCCAAAGGGAACCGTTACTGTGGCAACCATCTTACAAATCAGAAAAGTATAAAGACATCGAACAATTAGACAATTTGTATTTCAAAACACCAAATTGTGTTTTACCAGGAATCTATCTGTCCTTTAAAAGAGAATATTTTTATCCTTTACAGGTTTGTTCACCGCTGACCAGCAGCTTGCTGGCGATTTACCAATTTACACGCGGCAGAATAGTCAAGGTACCATAAGGGGCATGGAGGTCCCCGAAGAACGCGATTACTATCCATACTGGGGACCCACACCATGGAAGGATATTGCTATCCTTGTCAGCGATGGAAAGACTGAGGAGCTGATGAAGAGATATGTTAATAGTTCCAATTATGGGCTCAAATGTAAGGCATATCACCAGCAATACTCGATCATGATCGTTTCTATTCCTCTGATACTTATTTCTTACTTTCCATTTTAGATATGTGCATTATGCCAAAAGGGCTAAAAGATCAAACTGACTGCCCCCCAGACAACCAAGGTGTTGTTGCTGAAAAATGTGTGGCCAAATACATCACCAGGGACAGGTGTATAGCGGCCAAAGGAACTTGGACAGGGTTCATCACAAATTACTTGGAGAGGACTGCCGGAGTATTGAGCACTTGTAAAGGTGTGGGTGACATGAAGCTGGCAAAAGGCGTGCCCTACGAGGCACATAAGATATCACAAGGATGTGATAACAAGAAACAGTTTATTCTTCTCGAGAGACCTCCTGAAGTGATCTACGCCCCATCTACCGCCGTCAACCACAATGGAATCAACATGGAAGGCAAATTTTCCTCTTACAAATGGAAGGTCCCTTGCTTCCCATCCAACACAACACAGCGTTGTGTTATACGGATAAGGTGAGAAAGATCAAATGTATGTTTTATAAAAGTTTGATATTTAGCATCCTACTTTCAATGGATAATCACATTCTATTAACTCGTCCACGAATTCAAATTCTTAAGCAAGTTGGTGACAGGACTGAATAAATTTCCAAAAGCTACATCAGTTTGTACTGTCTTCAAATGTTATCAAATTGTATAGACCACAGAGGTGAATAGTGGTTTATGTGCGTGCCGATTGGCTGGTTTTGGAAGTTTTTAGCAAGTACAGCGCTAATCATCTTCGAGCAGCCGAAGAGACAAAATGCCCTGTCAGCAATTTAATTTCCGACCGTTTTTTGGTATATTGACAGAAAAAAACTGATTTTTTTTTGGTTCCTGTGTGGTATATATACTAATTTTTCACCTCAGTGTCGGTGCAAGTAGTGTTTATTACCCCCAGTTCAGTGAATGATTGATATACACATATCTATGTTTTTCTAGATACAACATCACCACTGATGACGTACCGAGGGAATTCAATGCTTCTCATAATTACAAGTAGGTATCGATATCTTGCGCTCTTATTTCTTGATTTACTAAGGAGTTTAGAAAAAAGTGTTCGAAACATGCTGCAAATTTGGCAAGCTAATGTCAGAATCAGCACACGGAAATCTACATTAAGTTAACAGCACAAGTTAAAAAGGGACCCGTGAACCAGTTTAGAATGGAAGGTACTACTTGGCTAAGTAAAGAAGAATAGCTCCTAAATAATTCCAAATTTTAGCCTTTACACATTTTAGAGCAGCGCTTAGAACATTGCGTGACGGTTGATTTTGTATTTGCAGACTCGAAAATAACCCGAAAACAAAATCCGTTGATAAAACAGAGCTACAACTGGCCTTGAATACCGCACAAGTCGGGAGAACCTTCCAAGACAGAAGTCATGTGATCCTCCTTAAAGCGCGAAACATAATGCAACCGGAACATCAGAATCGCACCATTCGTTACATCGGGGGGATTGGAAAAAGAGGAAACATTGTACAGACCTATCCTGCCATGGAATATCGTTTTTTTCCTGAACGCATTACTGTCACAACAGAGGAAATTGTATGTTTCGTCTGGTCTGGTATGAAGAAAAACCTTTATTTAGCATCATGAATTAATTATTTTCTGCAAAAATTAGCTGTAGCTGAAAGAGAAATTTTCGACTGTCGTTGTATCCTTTTGTTTCACAATTTCCTCAATCCTCATCCCATTAATTTATAAACTCTTATTGTACAGACACATGAATATCATGTTGTACCAAAATTGCATCAAAAATTAATTTTTGCTATCTCTTTTGGTTCTTAAGGTTCTAACAACAATCCTCAGCACTATGATGGACAAGGAACACCTGGTAAGAAATTGGTGGACATATCTATCACAATATTCTCAGTAACATAAAATAATGGCCAGATCACGCTTATGTTACTGCCATGATCCTGGATGAGAAAAAATGGACGCAGTTTACTCAAAACTTTGCGTTTTCTTTTCCCAGGAACGGATCGCACAAACGTGTGTTGGATTAAGGAAGGGTGCAAAACTCTGGCGCCGAAATCTTGTTCCAGGCTCCCCTTTGACGTCGTTGAATACGTTGAAAGATTTGACAGCTACACTTTGAATCTTCACCTCAACAGGGGGTGTTTAGCCCGTGACAAACCACTGGATTCTCAACTCAATAATGCCCCAGCCTCCTGCAACCCACCGTGCTTCCGCATTACGAAGCCTGGGGAGTACTGTTACATGGGTACGCGCAATAACAATTTCTCCAATCGACGTCACATTGGTCAGATTACTGTCATCAAACCTGCAAAGTGATATAACATTATATGCTATAGCTAAATTCAGGATCATTACTCGATGGTGTAGGTTTTTCAATGTTGGGAATTTCGTGGCAAAAAATAAAACGCGGAAATAAGGGCATTTATGTTTAGTTCACGGTTGTACTTCATTTTCATTAAAGGTGTTGGTATTTGCGAACAGTTATCTTGAAAAATAAAGTGAGAAATTATGGGTTATATGTGCATTCGTGGCTAATTTTCTTAGTGGATGACCTTTTAAGATGCAATTCGTTTTAATTTCTCAAGCATTTAGCGAATTAATATCAAAGACAATAGCTTATATTTCAAAATTACTTTATAAGTACAGCGACATGAACAAACTCTTGTGTTAACTTCCGCATATGCAATTAATTAGGCCTTCCAGTAGTGACCGCCTAGGCGTCAATAGGAACATCCACACAAGTGCTAGTAGTATGGCTTATAACTAATCACAGAGCAGTATTTTGTACCACATGACCCATTTTCACCGATCACAATGCGTAAATGAGCCACACCCCAAAACTTGAAAAAACAACGTCTAATTATTCACCTAACCATGGTAAGACCAAAAACCTCTTGAGACTTAAATTGAGAACTTCAAGACTCAGCACCGATTTGTTTCCCCGAGAAATTTAGATGTACTGTATCACTGATTCAGTACGGGCTGTTGGCCATTGATCCAATTCAAATCTCATCGGCCCTTAAGCCCAGTCTTATTCTAGTCTTCCTTAAGAGTAAAATGAAAATTCCTTCATTAACATGCATTTACGAAGAGTCTCATTCAGTCTTTTTCATCTCTGGTGTAAAGAAGCTTTTATCAAATCAGTTTACATCAGACGACAAACGATGATCCCAACTCCTTTGACTAATCCCCTTTTAGAATAATTCGAATTAAGTAACCAGTATTACATACATTCTATGAACCAGTTCACAATATGGGCGTTGTTGGTTTTTGGCATTGCCATCTTAAGTAGCCCGGTGAAACTTTCTGCGATCTTTTTTAAAGGAAAGCAAATACAAATTACAAATCCTGGAGTAAAGAAGTTTGATTACTTGGTAATGACATGTATTTGTTTGGGCTAACCAGGATCTGTTGGCGAGTTTTCCTTTGTGATCGTTTCATAATAAATTTAATTTGCGCCCTTGATTATTACAGAAACGCGTTATGAACAATTTAGGAAATTCTGCAGTGATACTTTGCACTGATCTCCATTAATTAGGACTCGATGTAAAAGATAAGTGATGACTTGAACTAAAGACACTCTAAGTCGTAGCCAGGGCAATTAGGAAACACTCCTTACAAAAATTTCCGGGAGCCAATACTTTGCTCAGAGAAAGAGTTGCCGGGGCTGCAACGCATAATTTCATCATAGAGAAGCTCAAATTGTTTATTAAAATCGTGGGAAGAGGAAATCGCGTAAGAAGAGCTCGAGTCATACGAAAAAAGAACATGGGATACACAGGGCACCCTAAAGCTCCCTCTCAGCTTAATATTCCAGTAGTTTATTTTCGCACTTACTTCATTTGTGGCGTAAAAAAGTGCCTCACGCGATTCATTCATCACGTGCGCAAACCTATGCGAAGATGCAGCAAACGTAATAACATCTGCAATCAATTAGTTCGTGTCAGTGTCATATGTCACGCGAAAGACACTTTTCTTTACATATTATTCAGAATGCAAACTTTCTATGAGCAACATAGAAATTAATTCGTGTCAGTACAATTAGTTCCACGAAAGACACTTTTCTATAAATATAATTCAGTTCGAGTGATAACTTGAACTAAAGACTCTAAGTCATAGCCAGGGCAATTACGAAACATTCCTTGTAAAAATTTCCGGGAGCCAATACTTTACTCAGAGAAAGAGTTGCCAGGGCTGCAACGCATAATTTCATCATAGAGAAGCCCAAATTGTTTATGCAACAAAGGTAATAACATTATCCTGCAATCAGTTTAAATTAGTTCGTGTCAGTGTAATATATCACATGAAAGACACTTTTCTTTACATATTATTCAGAATGCAAACTTTCTATGAGCAACATAGAAATTAATTCGTGTCAGTGCAATTAGTTCCACGAAAGACACTTTTCTTTACATATAATTCAGAATGCAAAGTTTCTATGAGCAACAGCACGCGCTTTGTATATTTACTTTCCACGTGCGGTATCCCAGGCCTTGGCCAGTTCCTTACTTCTTTCGGTAGAAATTGTCACTGCAATGGCAGACGAAACTTTAAGCACAAGCTCAAACATTGCTTCACACTAAGCAAAAAAATTGTAGACGTTAAGAAACCATCCGAAGCATTAGACGAAACGAATATCTAGAAAAATCTCCTGAAAATTAAAACGCGAACACCAACAAATAAAGTTGATAGATTAGCTAATGAGGTACTCCAAGACATTTCTCCAACGCAATAAATCAGGGAGCTCACAATGTCAACAGCAACCAATAGACACATTGCCTTTTCTAAATGTTTTGTTTATAACAATGCTTTGAGAGTTAGTTGGGCAGATTGCTCATGAGTTCGAAACCGTAAGGATCAGTCTTAGACCTTTAAGTTCAGTAAACGTTAAAGCACTTTTAAAACTCTTAGTTTAAAAAGATATAAGGTAAGGAATGAAGGACTTATTTTATCTCAAAGCAGGAACGTAACACAGATGTTTCTTGATAAATGAAAAGAATGAAATGTCTTGTTTACTTTACACCCCATCAAGGCACACGGAAGACAAGCCGCTATCAAGAAAAGGGCGAAAATCAGCTACTTCGTGCGCCACATAGGACATCGAGGTAGATATTCTCTAAGAAATTCATGACCCTGAGTTTCGTTTCTTTCTATGTTACACATAATTACGTTTTATGGTATACACTTATCGCAAGCAATTTTCAAAATTTCCAGCGTTCTGGAATTACATAGTCAAAAGCTTATAGAAATTTTCTCTTAATAACAGTCAATCATAATTCGTTCGAAATAAATTTTATTTTTAAAAACTGAAATTATGTCTTTTTCTGCAATGGCGTAAATTGAACTTCCCCAGCGAAAATTATTGCATTACTTGAGAATATACTTTAAAATCTTCATTCAATTTCAACTTGACAATTTTAAAGTTTGTTTCTTTCAGTTACACCAGACATAATGAAGCTATTGATCTTGGTTTGTCTTCTTGCCCTTCATACGAAGCCTTGCAAGTCAGATTTATACATGCATTTCCCGCCAGGATCCAATAATCGCTTGAATGGCGCGGGTGAAAATGTTGCAAACAATGCCAGACTCTTTGATTCACAGGTAGGCTGCCCTTTCCAGAAAAACGATTCAGAGCTTGAGTCTCGGATTTTTTTGGTGCAAACCACAGAGCATTATATAATTATTTTGTGACAGAAATTGAACACAACTCTGATCAAAGTCAGTTAGGCTGACATCATGATTTCTATGTCACTAGCTACCGCTGTTTATACATTAGTTCTGTATAATGTAAAAATTTCTTAGTTATCTTGTGGTAGAAGACTGTCCAGGAAAAATTTCAACTCGTCTTTACCTCTAAGGTTTCCAAAGTCGCCCGGATTTGCAGTCAGATCACCGTCTTTTCAGGACTACCATCACCTGGACTACCAAGTTGCATGTTTCATTTTCACAGTAACATAGTTAACTGAAAAAGACTACCACACTTTTCCCTAATGTTAAAGGAAAAAGACGAAAGTTAAGCTAAGGTATCTTTCTGCAATGAAAATCCATCAAGGATGTTGATTATTACTGAAACAGATATGTCATAATTTGAACGTGGAACATATACTCTCATTTGACGTACAGTTAAATACGAAAAAATTTTATATATTTTTCGCATCATTGTTTTTGAAATAATAAACCAATCACACTCCTTGACAAAAGTTCTGAATTCTTCAATAATTTCAAAAGGGTTCATAACGTTTTATATGATTGATGGTCAGATCAGTGTGATATTTTTTTGTGTCATACACTTCTACATGATGTAGTCCTAAAAACCCTTAATCGTCTTTAAGGCATGAATTTCGGAACCATTGTTAAAAAAAACCTAGCAGTAATTGTAAACAGTTAATCTCTGCAATATTAGGCAAACCTTAAAGCCACCTGAAGAGCAATGGAGAAATTAGATTTATTCTCTATTAAAATTTCCTTCATTTTTTAAGACGATCAATTATCAAGTTTTTATATTTCATTATCTTTTATTGATTAGTCTGTATTGTGTGTGTTTTTATCAATTCTATCTATACTCAAGCAATATGAACGGGAACTTCATGGGTAAATGTAACATGCAAAGAAAAAAAAACGGAGCAATTGTTGAAGAATACACAAATAGTTGTATGCTTGTTCATGTAGTGTACTGCTTAAATTATAGCACGTCAATGCAATGGCTATCAATTTGAGATGATTACGAATGGGCCAGAAGCAAACTTTTCCAACCATATTCAAGCATGTCTTCCAGGTCCCGAGCACGAAGTTAACCTGACAGCAGTTTAGATTTTTCAATTCTAAACTCATAACAGTCTTCGTGATCTGTGTCGATAAAAAAGTGGTTTCATTCATTGGCGGGACAAACAACTTAATTCTTACGATTCGAGCGACTAAAAATGTATCACGTAAAACGCCAATATACACAGTAACAAAGTTTACACTGCATAGAAGGCAAACTATGGTTCATTTCTTTGTGGTTGTTACCGAAAACCCGTGAAGCACCTAAAAGCAATTTAACGTTCATTTATTTCATTTTTTCATTTTTCATTTTTTGGCGCGACAAAAAACTTTAAAATTCTTACAGTTTGAGGGAGTGTATATCTATCTTGTAGACCATCAAACACGGTAATGCAAAATAACAGGTGTGTATTTCTGTGTTTGTGCGTGGTTTAACCCATACTGCAAACCCTCAATTTTCCCTCTCTTGGAATTTTGCGGTCTTTCATGTAAGTCTGAGGGTGCATATCAATGAAGTTTAAATTACCGCGTTCTCAAATCATTTACAATGCTGAGCACTAATTTCTTTCTGCATAGCGAATTCAAATAGTGTCGGATTTACTCGCAAGAAAAGCTATAAGTTTTGGTGAGAGTATCAAGGACTGTAAAGATCTGCTTTCTCAAGGTGATGAAAGGTAACTTGGAAAATATTGGGTCTAACAAGCCTCTCAAAGTGCTTTCTATTTCGGTCTTGAATGCATGTCTTCCAAAGTTAAAACAGTTGGGTGTTTCTGAGGGATAGCAATCAAAACTTCTGTACTTAGTGGTCAAGATGCGTTCCACATATATTTAACTCCATTCAGTCTAACTTATTTCCTTGTTAAGTATATTCAGTACTCTCGAATCATACACTCGTCTTTTTTTTTTCTTTTTAGAACAACGACAAGTGTGGATACAACGTGGGTGACAAATATCCTGATAACCCTGGGGACAATATCAATGAGAACAGACAAGAACCAATGGTAACGCTAAGCAAAAACAAATGCTTCCGGTGTCCCTTAAAATTAAGTTCTTGAAATTCGGCATTTTGGACTTATCAACAAGCTAGGAGAAAAGCAGTCAGTTCCACCCTTCTCACGTCTCAAAAACTCATTTGCTTTTATTTATCACTTTTGCAATGTTCACGTTATCAAGTAATTGAGACTTCCTTTCTTTCGTTACTTATGTAGCTATTTAAAAATAATACAATTTTAAAACTATCACTCTTTACTTTAAATAATCAAACGCTCAACATTTCTTCTTTTCGTCCAGGATTCACCTTTTCAACAGGGCTGATTATTTTAATCTGTTTTTGCTTTTTTAGGAATTTTACATGAGTGGGTGCTCCTCTCATGTGAAAACTGAAGTGGATATCATGTGGACAAATCAGCATGGAACAGGACCAAAGACTGACGACAGGGTAGAAACACAAGTCATTTTACAGTACATGTGCCAGCCGTTCCCGGGAGGCAAAATGCCCACTGGTAATGTGGATACCGACTACGAATATCACACCATTCGAAATGGTCAAACATCCGCGTCTAACACATTTGCTGACCAGAGTCAAGAGTCAAGTCAAATTTCAAAACAAAACGGACTTCATGAGCCGTACAATTACTATCAAGCTTATTATCGCAGATATAGAAATAAAGGTAAGATTACTGTTTATCTCTCTCTCTCTCTCTCTCTCTCTCTCTCTCTCTCTCTCTCTCTCTCTCTCTCTCTCTCTCTCTCTCTCTCTCTCTCTCTCTCTCTCTCTCTCTCTCTCTCTCTCTCTCTCTCTCTCTCTCTCTCTCTCTCTCTCTCTCTCTCTCTCTCTCTCTCTCTCTCTCTATCTATCAACCCTAGTTTCCGTATCTATGTAAGGTCTTTACCCAAAGGGAACCGTTACTGTGGCAACGATCTTACAAATCAGAAAAGTATAAAGGCATTGAACAATTAGAAAATTTGTGTTTCAAAATACCAAATCTGCGTGAAATAAATTGTGTTTTAACCAGGAATCGATCTGTCTTATGAAAGAAAACGTTTTTCATCCTTCACAGGCTTATTCACCGCTGACCAACAGCTTGCTGGCGATTTATCAATTTATACGCGGCAGAATAGTCAAGGTACCATAAGGGGCATGGAGGTCCCTGAAGAACGCGATTACTATCCATACTGGGGACCCACACCATGGAAGGATATTGCTATCCTTGTCAGCGATAAAAAGACTGAGGAGCTGATGAAGAAATACGTTAATAGGTCCAATTATGGGCTCAAATGTAAGACATTTTAACAGCGAAACTCTTTCAAAATCGTTCTCCTTCTTCCTATACTTACTTCTGGCTCCCCTTTCAGATATGTGCATCATGTCAAAAGGACTTAAGGATCAAACTGACTGCCCTCCAGACAACCAAGGTGTTGTTGCTAAAAAATGTGTCGCCAAATACATCACCAGGCAAAAGTGTAAAGCGGCTGGAGGGAATTGGACAAGGTTCATCACAAATTACTTGGAGGAGACTGCTGGAGTGTTGAGCACTTGCCGCGGTTACGATGACATGAAACTGGCAAAAGGCGTGCCCTACGAAGCACACAAGATCTCACAAGGATGTGATAATCAGAAACAATATGTTCTTCTTAACAGACCTCCTGAAGTGATCTACGCTCCATCTACCGTCGTCAACCACAACGGAATAAACATGGAAGGCAAATTTTCTTCTTACAGATGGAAGGTCCCTTGCTTTCCATCCAACACAACACAACGTTGTGTAATACGGATAAGGTAAGAAAGACAAACATTCGGTGTACTCCCGATAACTCGAACCTTCACCGGAAATTGAAAAAAGGTTCGAGTTATCAGGCGTTAAAAACAAAGCACTGGAAAAAAGGAAAAAACGCTCTTTACTGTTTTTCTATTCATGAAGCATACATTTGAAATCAAATCGAATTATAGAGAAGGCGATTGAAATGGAACACTAAATTACTGAGAAATCATAATGTAACGTAAAAGGAGGCAAAGAAGTAGGAGAGGTGAAGTATTAAAGTCGAGGTACTTCGAACTTTGCAGTTTTTAAAGCGAACGACGTCGCGGTTCCAGTCAATGAGGGTAAAATTATATAGAGAATTAATTGAAGGGAAACAAAAATTGTTTCGAGCTTGTGAGAGGTTCGAGTTATCGAGGGTTCGAATTTTCAAGGGAAAAATTGCATTAATTGTATGATGGAGATCCAGGGTAAATCTATTTTGGTTCCAGTTAGCTCCAGTTTCGAGTAAGCGAGGGTTAGAATTATCGGGGTTCAAATGTAACGTTTTTTAACAGTTAAGCAGTTCGGAAGTTGCTATTCACTTGGGTATCACAGAATCCTTACCATGTCAATGAATTTCAAATTTTAAGCTAGCTAGTTACAGGACTGGACAAATTACCAAGAGCTATATTAATTTGCATAGGCATGAGGGAACCAAATTCAAGAAATGATGCATAAATTGTTACACCCTTGGGTGGATATCCAACTTAAAGACTCAGTTTTCGGTAAATTTTTAATGAAACTGACTGGGAATGGTTCTAAGTTAAATTTTAAAAGACAGTGAAGATGATCCCAAAGCCAACATTACTATTTGGACCAACTTCCTTTGCCTACTATGTATCCAAGTACAATCAAATATATATATATAGATGTATATAACTTTTATTTCAGGTACAACATCACAACTTCTGATGCACCGAGGGATTTCGATGCTAATGATAATCACCGGCAAGTGTCATCATAGTTCTTTAATTACATCCATTTTTTAATTTTTTGAAATTGGTAATCCTTGTAATATGATTGGCTCTATTGGTGTGAGTTATTCACAAATCGCACCATTGTTTGCTCTAAATCGCATCTTTTTTCCCATCCAATTGGGAAGCTTTACTAAAAAACGCAACCAAAAATGCAATTTCCTTTTAATAGAAACCAATAAAATTTCCGGAAAATGGAAACCAACATTTGCATCTCTCTATAAACCAGCTCACAACTTGATCAACAAAGCATTTGTAAAGACTAATTTTTGCGATTTTAAGCACAGTTTCTAGAAGGCCATGTAAATCAGTTATAAATGGGAAGTATTACTCGTTTGTACAATTTGTCCCTCAATTTCTTGGCTGCATAAGGAAAGAGGGATTTTATTTGAGTCTTGATAGTGAAGCAGGCCCGCGCGAATTTCAACGGAGATGAAATACCAGTGTTCAAGCGAAAATATGAATGGAACAACCCTCAATTCTCTCGAAGAGAATTGAGAGTTTCTCTCGAAGAGAATTGAGAGTTTTTAAGTCTTCTGTAAAAGAATTTTTAAACTCTAACCATGCAGTTTCAGAATTCCTGAAAATAATAATTACTCGCAATAAATTATACAATGAACGTAAGTATGTATAACATAAAAGAAGATGAAATTTGGTGTAAGGAATGACTGACAGGATATCTACTTCAGGACGTTCTTGTTCAAAATCATACTGCTGCTATTTTATAGATAGTTATGTTAAATTTTAGCCATCTTGGGGCAACACTTACGGCATTGTGTAACAGTGTCATTGTATCCATTCCAGATTGGCCAATAACCCGACAACAAAAGCTGTTGATAATGAAACCGACCTCCAACTAGCTTTGAATACCGCACAGGTTGGCAGAACCTTTCAAGACAGAAGTCATGTGATCATTCTTAAACCGCGAAACCTTTTGCAACCGGAACATCAGCATCGCACCATTCGCTACATCGGGGGGATGGGAAAAAGAGGGAACATTGTACAGACCTATCCTGCCATGGAATATCGTTTTTTTCCTGAACGCATCTCTGTCACAACAGAGGAAATTGTGTGTTTCGTCTGGTCTGGTATGAAGAAAAACTTTTAGTTTAATAGCAAGTTGAATTGAAATCTAGGTTCATTCTCTCCAAGAGATAATCATAGTGCAAAGTTTTTCGCATTATTTTACTCTTCTTTCATAAAAAAACTTACACAGTTTAGCCTAAAAGTAGCTTACAAGCAATTTACCTTCCCAGTTTTCGTCTGTCCTCCTTTCCTTTTGTTTTACACTTTTCTAAATTCTTCGTTGTCGACAATGATTTATAACCTTTTACTAAGGTCAATTTGGTTTCGCTTTTCTTATGTTAAGTATGCACCACAGCATTATAAGGGCCATTCAAGACCGTACCCTTACGAAAATCATGTTGTAGATACCTCAAAGACTAAACCAAAATTGCACTAATGATTATTTTTTGCTATCTGTTAGGTTCAAACAACAATCCTTCGAACTATGACGGACAAGGAACAGCAGGTAACAAAATGCTGGACATATTTATCACATTTATTCCCAATAAGAGTAACGATGCTCAGAACATGTAGATACTACCGCAAAGAACTTGAAAGAAGGAGGAATCACGCACAAAGTTTACTAATACGTTCGTGGGTATTTTTTAGGTACGGATCGCACAAACGTTTGCTGGATTAAGGAAGGGTGTACAACACTGGCCCCGAAATCTTGTTTCAATCTCCCTCTTGACGTCATTGACTACGTTGAAGATTTTGACGGTTACTTGTTAAATCTTCACCTCAACTGGGGATGTTTAGCCCGTAACCAAGTGCTGGATGACGAGCTTAACAATGCCCCGCCCTCTTGCAACCCACCGTGCTTCCGCATCACAAAACCTGGAAAGTACTGTTACATGGGCACGCGCAATAACAATTTCTCCAACCGACGTCACATTGGTCAAATCACTGTGACAAGTGCTTGAACATTGCATGCTAGAGCTGAATTCAAGATCACTAATTATTGATGGTGTTAGTTTTTCAAACATTGGGCTTTTCATGGTAAAATAGAAGGAGGAACTAGGGGCTTTGATGTTTAGTTTGCTAGGAATGGTTGTCTTTTTAATTTCCATTGAAGGTGCTGGTGTTTCAATGCATGTTGAACCTGTTAAAAATAAAAAAGGACACAGTATGGGTTATATCTGCAATCGTGGCTCATTATCTTAGTGTACAATTTTTTAAGGCGCAATTCGATTGAATTTTTCGATCATTTAGCGAATTCATGACATTGGGAAATCGAGACAATAGTTTACATTTCAAAAAGACTATAATCGCGGTTTAAAGAGGCAGACTACCTGAGGAAAAACTAGGCAATCAAGTCTCCACTGGGTTTAGCTTTGCATTTTATTGGTTAAAAGGAAAGCGTGATTTTTCTGTGTCAGCCACTGTGCTCAGTTATGCAAACTAGCGCTCTCACCGGTTACTATCGATACTCAATTAACAATTGCTCTGCCGAACAGCCATTTACTTCATTTCAAGCCAGTGCATTTTTTCCTGTGAACAAAAATAGCCTCACAAAGAGAGCTGTTCCTGAACGTCTACAACCAAGCGAGGCATTGCGTATGAACAGACCGATTGGCTGTTTCATCCTTTCCGTCGTGAATTTCCATCCATTAAGTATAAATCTACTCTGTTGCAGAACATAAGTCAAATCCATGTAAGATCCTTTTTAAAATTTGAAGCTACTCCAACCGCCATGGTGGATCTTGATAACGAAAACGAACTGAGTCAGGCCGGGCAGTTTTTATATTTACCAAATGAGGGCTTTTGTCAATGTGCCTAGATTAAGTTTTAAGACTTTACTATGAGGGCCTCAATGGGGTGATGGCTTTTACTGCTAATGGTTTAAATTTTGGCCAATTTACGGCTAACAGTTAACATCTTTCCATCATTGTCACCACAAATTTTTTTGTGTTTAATATTTTAGCGATTAACGGTTCAAATTTGTCAATTTTTATGCCAACGGTTATATTTTCTGACTGTTTTACGGCCGTCGGTTAACCCTTAACTCCCAAGATCTCAAAGAAATTCTCCTTACTGTCTACCATACAGTTCTTGTGATGTTAGTTTAGAATTTCGTATTGGATCAACTTATAATCCCCTAACTGATATTTTTTTTATTCTCATCACCCGTCTGCTTGATATTGTATTGATATTGTAAGAAGAAATTCTGTAGTGGTCACTGATGGGAGTTAGAGGGTTACCCCACTGAGACCTTCTACCATTGTCTTCAAACGCTGACAATTGAGTAAGTTATTAATCTTGTACAAGAGATCATAAACTGTTCATATTCTCATGTTTTGTGTGAAACTCCAGTTTCTTTTTTTTTTTTACCCCTCGATCTCTCTCCTGTGGTGACACTCTCGAAAGCAAAGAACACACTGAAGAGATATATTTAGATTAGCTGAACTTCGTGAAAATCAAACCGTGGCAATTTATCATAGTTTTTCCTTCACAACTTGCTGGAATATCTTTCTCCCAAAGAGAGATATTTATGGTCATCTATATCGTGGCAAAAAACAAAAAGGAATCGATAAGAAAACAGCATAGGTTCAATAAATTGTCAGAGATGTTAGCTGTTGATATGGACTCAATCAGGGTGATTTTTTTCAAACTGATAACTTGAATTCAATCAAAAATTCTGTATCCTTCTTCAAGTTGTAAATTATAGCTAATTTCTTCCAAAGTGGTTTTAGACCCAGGATATAATTTTGCATTTTGATATAGTTCTACTCTTTTCCTGATACGACAATTTACAATAAGTTTAGCATGATGAGTAATTTCCTGTTCGTTCAAGAAATTTGGCTTCCAACATGTACTTTTGACTGAGTGGGAAGGCCGGACATCACGACGGAGAGTCGCATTATATACCCGTCCGAGTATATCAACCAGTTTATCACAAGACCACTAATCGATAGACGGGCGAACACGGGACAGCCACAAAAAAGGTTTTACAATTAAAATTTTTCCGTTGTTTTTTGTTTTTTTCTTTGTTTGTTTGTTTGTTTTTTTTAGTCAGAGCAAGAAACACACAATTCATCGAAAAACGCGACTATTTTCTACTCTCTTCTTTTTTCCTTTAATTCTTGTCATTAGAGGGCCGGACGGCTTTTTCCGGACCGGCTCACGTCAAATCATCCAGCCCTACACACGCCAGCTTTCACAATGGTTTTCTTTGGGATTGTACGCTGTACGGGCCATATGACAATAAGTAATCATCGGGAGAAATGTAAACACAAGGAGTGTTTTTTTTACTTTGTCTTTTGGAAGACGTACTGGTTACAAACAAAACTTAATACCACTGGTTTACAAAGAGCTTTTTGACTACACTTCTGAAGTCGAAACTAAAAGTCAGGATATAAAGTTGAGAATTTAATACGACAAATCGGAAGAGATGCCTCAATTGGTTTTTATGATCATCCGCAGTGACAGAAGTTACTAAGTTTTAAAAAAAACACTAACCAATTCATAAATCGAGATACATGTGAGTGAAGGCCCTATTACGTTGACGCTGGATTATGAATTAATAAACCAGAGTTTCCAGCAAAATAACTGGAGATGTTGCATGCTGTCTAAAGAATGCTTCAACACTTAAGGAACACTGTTCATTTCCACACCGTATGCTACTTGTTGTTCCTCTTCGTGGTTCGGTAGAAAAGGCAAATACTTGGCCACTTTGAAATTAGTGAAGCGGTTGAGACCAAACGGCAGGTCATAGACTTTAATGGAGGCTGTCTCCATCTGTCTCTCACTTTCATCTGACAGATGCTCCCTCCATGCCTTTATACCGCGCTCCTCGTCGGTTCCAGGGATGGTGTTGTCCAGAATCAGAGCAGAAATACACCCTACTGCCATACTTGTTTTGAAAAGTACTGTAATTATTTGGTCAATTTCTGGGACACCTACAGAGTGAATGATGCAATTAATTCCATGCAATAATAACTCTGATCTCAAATGCACGAATTACGACATTTTTACACAATGACGCTGGTTTTGGCAAAATTAGGGCGTAAGCGCCGACTATGTAGGCTTACAAATTCTTGTACTAGATTCCTTTCAACTTAAGAAAGGGCTCGATGCAAACAGGACACAGTCTCGGCCAAAATAGTTGAAACATTACATAAAGATCTCTCCCTTTAACCACTTTCCCATCAATTTATTGGTTTAGACAGGTTTTGTCCGATTAAGAGTACCATTTAGCATGATAGCGATATTCGAAATTGATTTAACTCAAAAAGATTTAATATTCTGATAAAAGATCACCTGTGCTAATCGCGTTCTCGTGATTTTTCATGTAATACGGCAGACCCAATCCAAATACAGTAGAAAATCCAACAATGAACAGATTCCTGGAGGAATTCATGTCAGCAAACTGCAGATTGGAGATTCCAACAGCGGTAATCATTCCAAACATGACCATAAATACTCCACCGACGATGGGATCTGGAATGCAGACGAACAACGCGCCAAATTTGCCGAGAACGCCAACAACCATCAGTACCAAAGCCCCAAATTGAATGACACGGAGGCTTCCAACCTGATTATACATCAAAATTATAACATCATGATGTAATTTTTTTATACAGCTTTGTAAATCCAACGAAATAGGGCCAAGCGATTCGGGTTGAGTCTTGACAGAAATAGTTAAACATTAAAACGAAGCCCCACGCCTGTACAAAAAGTTGAATTTTCAAACCAATAAAAATTTTAGGTTCGAGAGAACTTGTCTCATTTCGCCAGTTCTCTGTTGCTTCAATATATCGAACTTTTGTTGTAATCGTGGACTGGCTATTTTACTAAAACTTTTATATCCTTTACGATTTCCTCTTCAACGCTTTCCGTTTCTCTTGCAACAATTTACCTTCGTTATCCCGATAGCCCCTACGTTTTCACTGTATGAAGTAGTACCATTCCCGGTACCAAAAGCTCCTGCTAAGAGACATCCCATTCCTTCCATTCCGATGCCACGGTTGACTGCGTGTTTTGGTGGTGGTGGTGCTCCTGCCAATCTCGCACATGCGTAGTAATCACCTACGGACTCAATAATGGAGGCCAGCACGCCAGCAAGCATTCCAAACACCCCTGCAGCACTAACAGAAGGCGTTCCCCACTGACCTAAAAAGAGAGCAACGTGAAATTGAACCTCTACCATAATATAGTCATGTCTTGAAAAAAATGCCGCGAAATTGACGAAATTTAAGAAAATCTTAGCACATGTGCATCAGAAACAATCAATTCCACCTGTCAGTGTCGCTTTTAAGGTATGGACCAAGGAGTTTTATCAATGAGGACACTCACTTGTGAGGCAAATCAGACGGAGCATGAATATCATTGACGCTGAATCGTGGTCATATCCTGTACTAACCTGGGTAGGGAAATCTGAACCATTTTGCTTCTCTCAATACAACAGTTCTGGCATCGGTCCTGGCCATGTACTGAGGAACACTAGGATCAGAGGGAAAACCTCCCGCAGCGGTGATGATGGCGCAAATTATCCAAGATACAGCAATCGCGAGGATCACCTGTTAAAACCAGCGGGCAGTTATCGCAGTAATATTGTGCGTTACAAAAGAAAGAGAGGAGCGGTAAATCACAAAGACATTTTAAACGCCGAAGGTGACGTATTACAAATTTCGCCATCTATCAATGCAGATACACTCAAATGATTTAAATCAGTCTGCATAGTCAGCCTGCATAGCAAGCGCCTGTTTATCGAGATACTCTGTTTCCTACAGATAATCAAAGATGTGTTCTGAGACATAATTTCGCTGTGAGAAATAGTGCTCAGTTTCCATAAATGATATCCAGCCCATTGGTGATCAAGAACTGCGACGTGTTTCCGAAAGCGAACGACTCCTTTGTAGGAAATGAGTTTTTGCTTCCCACATTAGCTCCACAAGTCAATGTTTCAGTGTTCGCTATTTGTACTTACGAGGTGTCTTATATTCCCTGAAATTTAAAGGTCATGTTCTATTGTTCCCTAAACCTTAGCCCGAATGGCACTCAGCAGTCCTCGGTACATAACACTCACCGGAAACAGTCTGAACAACGGATAGTGACCAACGTAACACTCTCTACGTTCTTTGCTGTATCCTGGAAATGGAATCTTTATTTTGGTAAGGTATTGTGAGAACAAGGCAATTAACACGATCGTCCTGCAATACACAAAAGACAAATGATTAAAGGAGGTGAGTTCTAAAGAAACTGTGGTACTGCGTCGATGGGAGAGTATAGCAGGGTAATTTAGTATTATCAACTGAGTTGATAACTTAAATTGGCCACCGTAACCTTTCTGAAGTTTCGAACGTTAGCACTTCGTCAGAGCGAAAGACGAAGGGCTTACGTTCGAAACGTCTGCTTTAGAAACGCTTTATGTTCACAATGTATCGAAAGAGTGTACTTATTTCTTACAGAGGTAACCACATGAAGATTAATGTTCAAACTTAGGGGAAAGAACTACTAGTGAGGCCTAAGCACACCAGGTCACGGATGTCCACATTTTCAACCATACTACACTGACTAGCGTAATTTAAATTAGATTGAGTCATGCAGCTGTAAAAAAATAAGATTCTGATCATCTTTGACAAAGCTTCTCCCAATTTCTGTAACATAAAGCCATTATGAGAATTGTTTCTCATCCAGGGTGTTTTCTCTCGGCGTAAACCCATTAAACCCTCGGTAACCCGGCCAGCTAATGGCGCTGTGAGAGTCAGGATTTTTCCTTAATGATCCAGGTAGAGTTCGAACCCAGACCTTTCAACTCTGTTAACCTCTAGACAATGCAAATCCATGTAATACTCACGTCATTGAAATTCCCCAATGGTTTCCTTTTAACATGAAACAAAAAATCGATTGTTAGCGTAAATACAAAAAAAGGAGATTATTCACCACGGTATGGATGCTAGAATTAGATACCTGCGTGTTCTGCTGCTACGTTGAAAAGAGCCAGACCCACAAGAGTTATCGTGGGCGCTATGGTCAGTGGTCCGATGAAACGGAGAAGAAAACCAACAATTCCAGTGAAGCCAACCAACATTTGAAATAATGATGAAACCATTATGGCACCTTGGATCTAATGCAAAAAAGACGATTTTTTGGTTCATAATCGATTTGACAAATGAGAACGAAAGTGATGAGGAGAAGGATCACGGTGTTGTAAATCATTTTGACTTTTATATTTACCTCTCTCATCCGAGGTTTCCAGATTTCGGACATTTCCAATGTTGAGTTACTGTATTCTTTTGAAAGATAACATTATGTTTTAGCACTTATATGGTTAAATTCTAACTAGCTGAAAAGTGATGTCGTATAGGCAATAGGTAACTTGATAAAAACCAAATTGTCAATCTGTATGTCTCTCTGTTTGTCGGTGTAATCATCAAGCATGTGTAAGATAATCCTGAAGACAGACGGACGAACTGGCGAGGGCTTCATTGGATTTAACAATTTAGCCCACGATTAATTGTTATTTACTCGACAAATGGTCAAACAATCATGACACAAAAAAAACACCTTCAGTTAATTCAACCTTTCAATTAATCGTTGAAAGAAGGTCCTTGTTTGGCTTGTTAAAAAGCAAACAATCAACTGACCTTCAGGTTTAGGACACGTCCACTGAGGTAGAGACAAAATGGCAAAAGTCGGTGTCAGAAAAGAAAAAGCCCCTCCTTGAATGATCGGCAGCCTGCAATTCCCAAAATAAAAAGATTCAATAGAGCAACTTGATAGATTGAACTAAGTCCCGGGGGGGAGGGTGACTGGGAGTTTTCAAACACTTGAGAGGGGAGGGAAGGGGAGGAATTTAATTGTGTCACTCTCAATTTGTCAACCCTGCCGTCATGTCGAAATCCCTGTGTTTTTTTAAGAGTGACATTTTCCTACTGGATAGATTCATCATTTACGCTTGTTCAGCCCCATTACAAGTTTCTTGTGTTGAAAAAACTAATTGATCTTACAAAGGGGGAAAGGAATGACGACAATAACGGGCATTGAAGAACCTTCCCTTAGCCATATCCCTGAATCCTTAAAGCGGAGTTTCGGAAGATTGGAATTGATCTGAACCGTATGGATGACTGCAGCCAATTTAGGCACTTGGTTTGTGGAGACAAAGCAGAAAGTAATACGAGCAAGGATTAGAAACGTTGAGAGATAACTCCTTCCCAGAGCCCACAAATGTTCCACCACCTGCTGTTTTGCTCCTGGCCTCTCCTCCGACTGGGAACCTGGAACATTTAACGTGATCGTCAAAAGCCTCTGTGCTCCGGTGAACGTTTTTTCTTATATTCATTGAAAAAATACCTACAGAAAGTTCAGCCCCGAAAAATTAACACCTTTCACTCCCAAGATTTCATTAGCAATTCTATTTACTGTCTGCCACTCAATTTTTAATATGTGACTTTGGTGGATTTGATATTGCATCAACTAATAAAACCGTAATTGATAGTTTTCTTATTCTCATCAGTAGTCTGCTTGATATTGTACTGATTTCTTAAGGAGAAATTCTGTCTTGGTCACTCGCGGGAGCTATGCATGGTAGCATAATCGAAATTTACAAAGCTTCATTTACAAAGTCTAATCAACGTTTCACTCGGCCTTTAGCCGTCATTTAATTTACCGCGCCTTAGCCTTGCCAAAAACCTTTGAGCGCTCTTTGGAGCATAGCAATTACATTAATAAGATGGAAGTTGAGCTGTTTTAAAATTGTCTTTTACCGACCGTTATACCTTTGATCAGGACTTTACAAAAACAAAGAGTTTGTATTAAAGAAAGGTTACATCTTTGAGTATTTTCAAGCTGGAGATATCGTGCTAACCTCGTATTTTACTTACATCATGGTGGGGAAATGAAGCAATGATTGAAATTGCGTCCAATCGATGTAGAGATTTAAATTTTGTTTATCTTTCCTGAATTTCCAACATTTCCTCTTCTTCTCCTTGCATCTTTTTTACATGTCAAGAAACGGTGAGGCAAATTCCATGCCATATCCATCCAAAGAAATTAAATAGCCATACACTATAGAAAAAAGACTTGTCCGCGTAGATATTACTCTGAAGTATGACCTACAGTGACAGAACGTCTGATCCCTACCTGACTCCAAACGTTGACTGCAACAAAGTGACAACTCCAGAAACAAAAAGTATCGTGCTCAGAACTTCACTAATGGCAAGGGTGTTACTACCAAAACACATCGGACCGCTAAGAATGAAGGGAATTGACAAAGTTCCTCCTAGCATTGTAAGGTAATGCTGAAATAATGAGAATAATAATGTTGATTAAAAAAGCAACATTCAAATTATTAAGGCATTCCTCTGTCTCGTACCGTAAAATAACACTTTCTTTTCTACAGAGTCACAAAACTCACTTTCCCTTCAATTTTCTTTCTTAACCACAAGTTCGCTGAGTGTTCTTTGTGAGACATTATGTTTAGAATCTTCGACTTGACTTTTCGATTCAAATGGAAAATTGAGAAACTCGGGACTTGTTGCTTAGACCAGATTCTATTACAGAGGCAAAGATTTTCATCGAAATCTCAGTCCATGTCCCTAGAGGCAGATTATCCTTCTAACATGTGTCTATTACGTGTCATTGCCTCCTTTGACCAGGGCCTTGGTGAATCTCAGCCTTAACAACTCCTACAAACTCCATCATTGTTATGTGGCCGTTTGTTGGCCATGACAGACTTGTTAACTGACTGTACAGATGGACCTACGGTAACAGTAAGCAGTCTAAAAAGACAGAAATTGGAGGAACTAATTTCACTTCAGTTCGTACCTGAAAACCCAGCAACAAGCAGATATACCATGGTGGATTTTCGTCGATGAGGTAAGTCAAGCCGAAAGCTCTCCTTTTCTTCCCAGCATCGGGCTTGGAAGTCTTTGAATAACAAACATACTCTTTTAGTTCCTTAGTGCTTGGCTTCTAGCCAAGCTATCTCATATGACAACCTTTATGAAGTTGACACATCGTGGCAAGGATGACAATAATTTGAATGGACTTCTGCGTTCCTTAATTGAATAAAGCTGATAATACTTTGGAGAATTGACGCCGCCGACTTTGACAGAACTACGCGAGGGGTGGGAGTGGGGGGTGGGTTGTGTGCTGGCGGAAGAGATTATCTTATTATGTGGCAAAACTTGGCCTGGATTTTAACCAACTGTAAATGATGTAACTTTTGTTCGTTAAGCTAATTAACTCTGTGCTAAGAAATTTCTCAAATGTCCCCGATGTTGCTTCTACATATCAGTGATCACTCTCACTAGAGAACTTATCATTCACTGGTCTTCTTGTTGGACGACTCAGGCGTCTAACGGATTTTAAGGGATTATCCCTTATTTTGATACACCACGCGCTCCCGCCCAGTGCTGGGGGTGGATGGCGTGACAACCCTCGGAGAGCTTACGTAACCGAGTTCTCTGCTACTAGAACAAACACTGTAAACGTATTTTGAAAGATTTACGTCAACACAAGCAGGTAAAACTGCGCTAAATGTAACATTAGGTTTTCGTGTGCGTGTATTGCATCGTGTTTCAGTGATTTTTGCACGACTGATTTGTACATGTCTCTTTGATACATATCTAAAATTTAGCTCAGCTGGGTTACAAGCCCAGTCTGGAGAACAACCCTTAGCCAAAGGAATTATTTATCTCAATTTTCTTTCCACGGGTTCAGTATAAGAGTGATCTTAGACTAAATTATCCTCGAACCTGAGCGACCACATTACCAACCGGCATTTTGAAGCAAACACGTTCCTTACCTGAATTTCCTCTCCACTCATTGTAATTACTCCGCGTTCTTCGGACTTTTACATGTATATATCACTGGATGAATCGGTGGGTCCTTCTTACCGATCACCTTGAACTAAAAGTAGACAAAAAGTGATATATGTCGCCATCGTTCTTTGGGTTCAGTGGGATTACAGACTGCAATGTGGAACTCATGGCCACAGGTATAGCTTAATACTGAAGATTAACGAGATGATGTTGAACAATAAGAAAATAATAGTTTAGCAAGAGGATGTTACACTACGTAAGGTACCTCACTGTAATTTCCTCAGTAGACGGTCGGTTTTAGCCCCAAACAACGGGAGCAGGTATTAAATGTCGCTAGGACTGGCATCTCAAGAATGTGACGTCTTTCATCAAGGACAGTTTATAAACATACAGTCTAAAGGGGCGTGTGAGGACTCATATGAAATTCTGTTGAAGCATCGAGTCACGCACTGGACTGGGAATCTTTTGTCACACAATCCGATGAACTTTGTCATGTTAGCCAAAATGAAGTATCGAACCATCAGTTGGATAAAGCAAAGCACTGCAATTTTCTATTGCGCTCCCCGACACGCAGTAGATCGCACAAATCAAAACATCTCCTATCTTCAACTCCTATCTAATCACTATCTGTGTTACAATCCTTAATTATAAGGTTCTTGGAGATCAACTGAAGACAAAACGTACGATTAGCGCGTAATCCCTAAAGGACTTATCATTTACCTCATGAAAAAGAGAAAGAAAAAGAGACACTAGATAAAGCCCTTTCGTCATGAGGAGCTTGCCGCTTGCACCCTTCAATTTTTAGAGGGCGATCTTTTATTGACAAAAACAGAATCCTGTGTTTTCCAAACACATTTGCCGCGCCCTTAAGCATATTTATATTGAGATTATAAGTTATGTTTTCAAATTTTGTTTGTTTTCTTGTTTTTTTCTCTTTTTCTGTAATTATAAGGACAAGGTTAGAATGCTCTATCCCAAAGGATCATTACATAAACTTGGTTTCTCCCGCTGTACCTCTAACCAGGACAAATTCCTCCAGATGAAAAGGCTATACAGATGGTATTAGTGTAGCGGGGGCTTCGGACTGACCAGTTTAGTCAAGCAGTTTACACTCCACTTTTCTTGTAACAACATGTAGGAGTTGGCCAAAAATGTCCTAGAGTCGTGTCATCATTGTCGATGAGCAAACCACTTTTTCAACTACTCCCCCCATCGCTATATTTTGCTAATCAAAGACTGCTTTTCTAAGTTGTGTTAGTTGTTTCTCACCAAACAAATTCATTTAATATTGCATAGTTTTTTCACTACGATGAGGAGTGCCGCTGCGAACAATGCACAAGACAAAACTGATACTTCGTCAGTTCTTGTCTCCTACTTGGCTAATTCTAAACATGATAAGAACCCTTACTGACTCTTGTCTTTTTGTTTCCAGAAAAAACTCAGTGAGCGCCACAATTCGGCTGCTGAAGGTCCCGCTAGCAAAGTGGAGAAAGCAACTGGAAACGAATCCAACACGACTGGGCACTTGTTGAAGGAAAGTTTAAGAAACAGCGAAGAGGGTCCCAAGAATATCCTGCTCGGGCCATGGTGAACAAGGATAATTCTTAATCATCTGTGTTCACGATGAAGTGTTCAGGATATCAGCAGGGAAGAGGTTCTCAGTGATATCCTGAAAACGTAAAAAATCTGATGACCCACTTTTGACGGAATAATAGTGTTTTAATAGATCGTGGAAAATCAGAGCATGGAAAAAGGGACTGGAAATGAATCAGACACAACTGATCAAATATGAAAGGCAGTTTTAAAAAACAGCGACGAGCATCCCACGAAGCAAACTGTAAGGTGTTCGTTAACATATTTCCCGCGCGTTGCAAAAATATTTGAAGGATATTAAACACAATAGCCTCCATTTGGAGCGAAAATACGTTTGGACATTATGTGTTACACGAAGCTCAGAGTTTTCCTCAAGCTCTCAGAAAACTTTTCGCATCTCGGAACAGATAATGTCTGCGGACAAAATTGATAGGTCACAGGGATATCCTGATGACTCGCTTTTTGACGTCTCAAAACGTCAGTCTTTAAACTCTTTACGGCTAATTTACGTTTTAACTCAGTTGTTAACACTAAATTACCTGTTATACTCTCCCACCGACAGAGCACCACAGTTTCTTTAGAAACTTACCCCCTTTATAAAACAATATAGTTTATATACAATGGACACTAGGGTTTCTAGACACTATACCCATGATATCCATCAGCCCTCTACGCCTGACAAAGAGGTCGACAGAGAAAAAAAAACGCCGGGGTGAGGGGAGGGGAGGGGAAGGGAGGATTCCAAAAGGGCGACAGATTCGAAAGTTTAAGCATGCTCAGATATCGATCTTGGCGAAGTGCCGTTTGATGACACAATATCTTGGTAATAGGAAAAAGATCTTTCGACTGAGATTAATAGCGTTTCCTTCGGTAGATTTTCTTCGAAAATTAACTCAGTCCTAACCACATACAGTTCATATAGTTGCATGAAGCGACTAGCATCATGGCTACTCCCCTGGATGGAATGCTGTCTGTTGCAGTTAGCACCTTTCCGCCTCAGCATCCTTTTTAAACTGGTACACCTACATGGAAAAGAAACAGTGAGAGGAAAACTGGGGCTGATAGACGAAGTCGCGTGATGGTAAACTTCTCGAGAAAGTTAACGCACATTTGACTCAAAGTCGCGTTTTGATCTGTTGTTTGAAACAAGTCCCTTCCGACAAATTTGGATCATTTTGGGAATTGTAAATGGGAAAATAGAGAAAATATATATGAAAAGACTTTTTTTTTGGCTTTTTGATGTCGGCAAAGACAATAAATGAGAGCCGAATGAGACGAAATTGCAAATTTGGCTGTCAAACTCAGTTAAAACGCGCCTGGATGGTGCCGTAGAATCAACAGACAGAATAATTATTGATAATTCCAGCAATTTCATTGGCAAAGGCAATGATAACTGAGATAACCAGGTCTTAAAGTATTACCGTGGTTAATCAAAGGGTTAAAACTTGGCTATGTTAGCTGGTTACAATGAAAAGGGAGCAAGTATTTTTGTCCGAAAAGGTGTTTAAACAATTGCATTAAAATTGAGTGGAGAAGTTATAAGCTGATCAGTGAGTCAAAAGTTGATGAATATAAAAAGAAAATGAGAATGCAGAAGGATTCTAAGCCAACACCTTTAAAGAAAAGTACCGCTAACAAACAAGAAGAATGAGATGAGAGATGTCTGGGAGGAAGCATGTCAAAACTACACCATATCACTTGCTTTATTTAGTTTCCTACTCATAGTGCATGTGCTAACAATGTAATATTTCCTTGAGCATAACTTGGACAACAACTGTAGGTAGCAATTTTTGTTATATCTAACTACCCTCATTCAGCAAGATACAAAATTGAAAGCTAAGACTATTGCAATGCAAACATTGCCTCCAGCAAAATGAATGCCTCTAAGTTGATTCTTCTTTAACTGGCACCACAGCAACAGGGATATGGGTATGATGCAGAACATAGTCACTAACACTACCCAAGACAGTGCGACGCAGGGGACTGAGACCCCTGGTGCCCATAATGATGAAATCCACATTTTTAGATGCTGCATAATCAACAATTGCTTGTCCGGGATTGTTACTGCTCTCACTCTCAAACTTGCGATGCTGGAAATGTCAAAAGAATGCAGTACATTATGATTAGATATAGTTGTCACTACATAAATATATACTGATTTAGCACCCTGAGCATTTTTTCTTTAATTTTCTGAGTCAAGGGTCTGAATTAGTTTGAAAACAGGTAAAAACATCAGTGTCATACTGATTAAACTTATTGGCATATGTATAGATATATATCTGAGCAGATTCACCAAAACATAACCAAGAGCACAGCAAGCTCAAAGTCCCTTCCCAAGCTCCCTCCTTTGGAAACTGAAAATTCTTTACCTAATTGTTAGCCACCCACCCTCCAATAGGCCAGTTTGCAGGCTACTTGCAGGTGCTATCCTTGATCTTGAGCCCCCACATTTTTGCTGGCCATGCTAGCTTATAGGTGGGCAGGTAAAACCTAGTTGGTAGGCCTTTGCAATATCAATTTAGTTAGGTCCAAATATGACATTTTTGACTCTCAACCAACCCCCAGTTATTGAGTCTTAGCCCATTGATTGGGCAGTGTGGCAGGGCACAAGCCTTATGGCCAGACAGGCAAAACAGTGCATTGTCAAAATAACTTAACAAAACTCTTCCAACCAATGGGCAAACTACAATAGGTTGAGAAGTCCAAAACCTACCCTCTCCTCCCCTGAGCTTTGGGCACAGAGCTGCCAGTGACCCACCTTCTAATAAACTGGTTCAAGGCTACATCCAGTGCTGGCCTTAACATTAATCTTTTCCAACTAAAAACCTAGCCAATGGGTGTTTGCAACCCCTCCTAAGCCAGCTATTTGGACTCTCTACCACCCTCCAACCACACAGCGTTCACCCACTACCTGAGCTGTAGCAGGGAATAACCCAGTGATTGTCAATCTTGCAACATGTCAGGCATGTGTTTGCAAATCCAAGCAGATATACATTTATTTCTATATTTCACAGTAATTTTGATACAAATGGAAAACACTTTGTTTCCCTCCGATATAAAGAAAGTTCAGATTTCAAATCTTCTAATAAATTTTAACTAATTCATGATATTTAAATAATGTCATATTAACATCAAGTTCTCTAGATGATTTGTCTGAGAAGTTAACTGAAACTTAAGAGGTAAGAAATAATTACAGTTGATCATCTGGAAGACATTTAGTTTGAAAATAAAGACAGACCTTTACTGAACCACATTTTGTTGTGAAGTCATTCTCAACTTTTTCCACTTCCTTCATTGTTTCCTCCATGATTTTTTTCCACTCCTCAGCAGGAAGCTGAAAAGGTGCTGTAAAAGTGATGTAGATTAAAGAAATTAAAGTTGTTTTTAATAAGCCTGGAGTTTGGCTAATGTCTCTTAGAGTATCATCTTGTAGTAACAAGGAGAGATCATTTGGTAATCAAAGCCTCTTTAAGATTAAGTAATTGTTTCTTTATTCTCATGATCTCCATGAATGACTCTGCAGTAATACTGCAAGAAGTTAGCTAGTAACTTGCAGGATTTATCATGTATGTACGTGCTGTATATAATTTCATCATGTTTGTCTGCATAATGTACAAAATAAAAAAAAAAATGGGTTGCTTCATTCAATTAATAACATTTATTCTCCAACTTTACTTACCTTTTAAGCTAAAGGTGGGAAGATGTTTCTGCTGCCAAACATGATAACCAATCAACTCATCCTCAGGCTGGGAGGCTTTTTCCAAGTACCCTGTAAGATATACCGACTAATCAAAATGCAAGCAGTTTTAATTTTTCTTTTTAGTTTGCACATTTTAAGCCTGCATGAAAAGTTTATGGTGCATACACCCTATAATGGTCACAGCAAATTAGCATTGATTTTCCTGACACAGAGTATTCTGGTCTTCTTGAATCAGGCAAACAAGAGTTATATGAGACAAACAGCACTGCTCAAATGTGAGTTATCAGTCCCTTGAAACTTGACCCTTAACCCTTGATCCCTGATTCCTGATCTTTGAAAACTTAGAGGATTACATTCAAATATGAGTGTGCTGGAGGCTGTAGAACGCCAGTGCATCTAGCACCCAAAGAGATGGTGTGATAAATAAGTGGTTTAACTACAAATACATAACCAACTTATATCCTGAAACTCACTTAATTCAATGAATATTTTGACTGAAATTACATTTTTTTGCTATTACCTTTGCACCTATAATGGTCGCATGCCAAACAGTCATGAAAATGTCCCAAAAAATGCAATTAAAAAGCCTATTCTATAGTTACAGTCATATTAGCCCAAATGCACATGGACTTGCAGGAGACAGAAATCATATTTTTCAAAAAATGTAGTGTTTTAAACGGACTGAAATAAATTTAATAAATTTGTGCATATGGGTAGAGAAGTCTGCCTGCATCTTGTAATGGAAGGAGCGATCATTCCCATAAATTTTTGACAATTATTAACTTTAGATCACCTTGTCAGTCACAGGGTGATCATGCCTTTCTACTTTGGGAGGGATGTATGATAAACTGATTGAGAAAATTGAATAATTTCCCCTTACAGCCTTGACGATTAATTCATCAAGCCTGCACTGCTACTGTACTTGTGTACTGATTAAAGTCATTAAATGTAAACTACCAAATTATCACAGTAACCAAGCATCATTAATATTCCAACATCAATATACACACTTGAATCTTTTCAATAATTTAGGAACTTTCCTTGCGAACAAAGTGCATCTGTGTGGTATTGCTAAAGATTTGATTTACGACAACATTTTTTATATTTACCTGACAATACGTTACATTTTTGTCATTTTCTTGTGTATGTATCACGCAAACAAATTCGTAACAGTCGATTTTCCGAATATTGCAATCAACATTTGTTACTGGGAACATTTACCCACTCCTTTGCAAAGTCCTTCGCTTAACAAGCGCAAGACTTTGTTAAAATTGCAATACAGCGAGCAGTTATCTCAAGAATATTAATAAATCCCACTGACAGAATAGGTTGTGATCTGCAAACTTTAAGATTTAAGTCATTTGATTTGCTGAATTCACTTAGCGACTGTCCAGTGCATCGAACGTACCTTTCGCGGATTCACGCCCCCATTCCCTTCAGAGCGCACGCAAACTAGCGAGTCAAAAATCAACACACTTACACTTTAAAGCATACTCAGAGTTCTTGCTGCCATCCACTGCAACTAATACCTTCCTTTTACCGGACATGATTCTCAAAGCATCAAAGCAAAGTGAGATCGTGGATCGTGCGAGTTCCCTCCGGACTGCTAGTGTTCAGGAAACCCAGTTTAATCGTGTTTGCATTATTTATCGCCAATGGAATTACGCGTACGCTTATTGGTAGTTTTGCTCATGAAAGAACCAATCAATTTTATCGATGCATCTGGGGACTGGGGAGAAGACGTGCACAGTTGATTCGGAGAGTGATATATTGACAGATTGACAGCTGGAAGTGAATAGTACGTTATTGTATATGATGATCACAAACTTAAACGCGCACTTCATTTGAAGAGTTAGTGGAAGACACAGAGCAAAATGTCTTCAGGAAATGTTGTCATTATCCCCGTTGACGGGAGCAAAAACAGTGAAAGAGCAGTAAGCTGTAAGTCTCTGTTTGAAAAAAACCGTAGATCAAAACTTACGTGCAATATTTGTTTACGTTCTCAAATTTACAAAGCTAAACTTTGCTTAGCTTAGTCATATCCACATGATCAGATATTGGTTATAAAATAATGATCGGGAATATTTCAAAGATTAATTGGTCTATCGATGTACATCGTTCGCTGATATGTGCACTCCGATTCGCTGGGATCTTCTCCCAGGTTTCTTGTACTGTGTCCGAACGTCGAAAAGAGACTTAATCAAGAAGAAACTCTCTTTTTTGTGATTCTTTTGCCTCCCCTTGAGAGTTTATTAATACAATGTTAAAATTAGAGTTTAAGCGTGATTAACTTAAGAAAAACAATGCCACGAAAGCGAGAATCAAGATTAACAAATATCGCGCATTTTTAGTCCTACAGCACACACGTGAAATATTGGTCGACTTTATTTTGTGATTTCAAATTGCAGCCGAATGGTACATTTCTGAAATGCTTAAATGTATTTGTTTATTTACCAAATCTACTTTTGTCGACCTATGTGATTTCATCATGGCGGTAGTTTTGGTAGAATTTTACCAATCAAATATTATAAAACCTTAACGGAATATTGCTGCGATATTGTTTTAACTCTAGAGGTCCATATTGTAAATTAGTAAGAAAGATTGACAGAAGTACTTATGGATATTTGCTGATTCCTTTTTTTAAGAACCAAATATCAAAATAGCAAGGTTACATAAGCGCCACCTTAACATCCTACTTCTTGAGACATAGAGTGTTCTTTTTTCATGTTTCTCCCATTGAGCAGGTGATTAGGAGTACATTACATGCAAATTCAATGACTTTAATTACTTTTTGATTTGAGTGTAGAGATTGGGTAAATTCTGTTTGTTTTTGGTTTTTTAAATTTTTTAATCATTTTTCATCAGGGTATCTAGATCATCTTCACTCTAAAGGTGACAGAGTTGTTTTCATCCATGCATTTGATCCTCCACCTATGCAATCTGCAAAACACAGTAAGTACAGGTTTATTGGATCTAATGATCATAAAACTTCCACTGAAACCATGTGTTCAAAAAGCCCAGATACTATCAAACTTAGGGTACATGTAATATCTACCTTGAGGGTATCTGAACTATATTGTAGAGATGCAAAACTGGTTTTTGATATTAGTTCAGAAATCTTTCTTGAAACTTGGGACAGTAGTGTTATTTGATGGAACAAATAGGTTTACATGTAGATATAGATCTACAGCTGCCTCAAGGTTAGCTTAACCCTTTAACTCCCATGACTGACCAAGACAAAATTTCTCCTTACAAGATCAATACAATATCAACCAGATAAGTGATGAGAATAGAGAAAAATATCAGTTTAGGGATAATAAGTTGATCCAGTACTGAATTCTCTGAACTGACATTATACGAATTGTATGGTTGACCGTGAGAAGAATTACAAATTTGATCTGGGAGTTAAAGAGTTAAGGGATATTTTTGAAGATTTTTAGTTTGTTGAGTCATAAATTACTTCTTTTAATTAGTATAAGAACTATACCTACCTGATTGCAGCAATGTTGTCGCTGAAGAACACAAAAGCTATAGAAGGAAAACAGACAGGCAACAAAGGAATTAATCAGCAATAGTCATACAATGACTAAGCTACTTTTTTAGAATGTCAAAATAATAACTAACCCTCTAAGACTGAACTTCTTTTCCAAATTAATTCTCCGGCCTTTCATACACATAGTTACAGGAAAACTCTCTTTTTATCATTGCATAAGAAGATCAGAGTTACTTTTTGAAAGAACTCTTATATTTGCTGGTTCATTGCAGAATGTTGGATGGAGTCAATGCTGAATTTGAATTTTACATGTAGCTTGCTTTTATTTGAGTTCCCTGTTTTTTCACTCACTCAGGTGATTTCCCATTTTTTCCTTGTCGAGAACACATCTGGAGAAATTTCATTGAATGAAACAATGAAATTTCTCAAGATGTGCATATCAGTGTTCAGATTTCTACTTAACTTTAATTCTTCATTTTTCTTGCATGATTAATTTTTTTTCGCATTTTTGTATTACAGTCAAGCCTCTTTTTGTGACAACTTCTTGCTAGTGACCACTTTTTTCAATTTAAATTGCAGTTATACTAAAACAAGGAATGAACTAAAATGACCTAAAACAACCTAAAATGATCTTGAGTGATGCACACAATGAAGTAAAATAACCTTGACTGATGTCTGATGTAACCAAAAATGACATTTAAGTCTAGCTGAAAAGATCCATAATAGTAGCTGGTAGTAGCTCAATGATCTAAGGTGTTCTAAGTGGTCTAAAGTGACATATTATTAAATAAAACTAAGAAGGTAAGCACTTAGTTTGCACATTCCCACACTTTTCCTTAGAGCGTGTTCAAATTCTCAAAGGTTCCTCTTACTTGTAACTGATCACTGAATCTTGCAATGCATGACGCTTTCATAAATTAATAGTTTGCTTTTTCTTGAGACATCACCTTGGGATGCCTGTGATATGGCTGACAATTACTTTTTTTAAATTGTTCCAGTAAAGTTAAAACATCATTTCATGTCATTTTAGTCAGTGCAGGTTATTTCCAATCATTTTAGGTCAATACATCAGTCAAGGTTATTTCCAATCATTTTAGGTCAATACATCAGTCAAGGTTATTTTAGGTCCTTTTAGGTCATTTCAGACATCACTTAAGGTCATTTTAGGTCATTTTAGAAATCACTCAAGGTCATTTTAGGTCATTTTAAGTCATTTTAAGTCATTTTAAGTCATTTTAGGTCATTCCCTGTTTTAGTAACTACCTTTTCAAATTACCAAAAGTTTCCAAGTCAAATCACTTCAAATGAAACCTCTTGAAACTGGACATCTCTTGCAAGCAACCACTTTAAGAGATGCTTGTTTTTAAGATTCATTTGTTTTTAACCCACCATAGGCCACCAATTGACAGACAATTGGCCTTATCTCTCACAACATAATTTGAAAAATGTTTTAACAAATGTTTCCATATAGCCACCAGAAGTGTTTTTCAAAATAACTTAAATGCATGAATAAAGTAACAAACAAGCCAAGCTTCTTTCATGTGAATTGTCCCAAATGCTGTTTGAAATAGTTTGTGAGATACAAAGCAATTGGGTCCATAGATTCCATGATTTTTTTCCTTAAATCATTTGCAAAAAGTTCTTACCATAGGTTTCAATAAGCACTGGCAAAAGGGTCCAAATTACCCAAAATATGGAACCTCTGTGGCCTGACCTCTGATAAGGAACTGCCTTCCGTAAGCAACCACCTACACTTGACATTTTGGGTGGTCACTAACCGGAGGTTCCACTGTAGCCCTAAACACAGTTTGAATTTGGTTAAATTGATGCAGATAGGTGGATATACACAATAATATGTATTTCATGCTCTCCTCCAATTTCTCCCTATATCTCCTCACTAATTGAAGAAGGAAAATTTGGCAGGATATCTTAATTTATCATTATGATATAAACTATGGTTTTATACAAGGATTTCCAGCCCTGAGAAAAGCCATAACATCACAGGTGAAAAAATACAATATTTTCTCAGGTGTGTTTGATATTGTCGATTAGCTGCTGACACATTACTTGCCTTTTGTGCTACCATTCTCAATCCAAGGTTGTCTGTCAGAATTTTTTCAGATTGTGGCTGCTAAAACACTGAAAAATCTGTATCGCTGGCAGACAGTGACACTCAAACTTTCCTATAAGGGGAAGAAACAAAATGTGAAAAGAAAAACCAAAAGTTATGTATTCAGTGGCTTTGGTAATGAAATTTCTTGTGGCTGAAAATGAAAATCGAATACAGGAAGATTTGCCACAGGTTGATTTTATGCACTGTATCTTTTTATTTCCATTTGTTGTGAAAGTCAACTTTTTTCGTCAATAAAGGGCTATCATGTTTATATGAATTAAACAAAATAATACATGGTTGCTTGTAGATATGGAATTTCTCTTTTTTTGTGTTCAACTTGACATCTCACTGGTGAGCTACCAAGTTAAACACTCAAAGAAAAATTCTAAATCAATGCACACCCATGTAGTATTCTCTTTATAATGCACTGTCTTATGACTGATAGTCTATCAGTTCTGAGTGTGTTTTCTGGTATAGGTATTGGTTAAATACATGTATGTAAGGAGATCAAATATGATTTTGTATTTAATTTAATCACTTCTGCAAACAGAAGGGTTAAACAGTTTGAATTCAATACAAAAAGTCTTTTCCAGACTTGTATGCACAGCATAGAAGTAATCAAAAATGTAAAATAATAAACTGTGAGATTGGATGTTGGAGACCACCCCCTCTAAAAAAAGTCTAGTTGTACAAGGTAGGGTTTCAATGAATTTGTCTGCAGAGAATTACATCCAGGACAAAAGCTTCACCGCTTGCATGACAAGCATGTTGTTTTGCCACCAAAGATATGAGACTGTCCTCTTAATTTATTCCAAACTAGCTGCTTCAATCATTGTTTCTCAAGAGGCAAGATGCTCATTCAACTCAAGAGACAGAAGTCTCACCTTTAAAGATGATATGCTTGACTTGTGCAAAATAAGACCAAGCAGTAATTTTTTTTAGCAGTACTGTCACTACTGAATGACCATGTATTATTTGCCGTTTACTCTTGATCTTTTACCATCAATAATTGTTTTTCTTTCCTTTTCTGGACAGCAAGTGTTGACCTCAAGAACAACTATGATGAGTGGTGTGTCTTAATTCAGAAGGCCCAAGACAAAGCCAGGGGCCTTCTGAAAGAGTATGATGAAAAATTTGCCTCCCTAAAGGTCAGTGCAAGTCTTCTTTCGTACAGTAAGTGCATTTCATATTGGTAAGCTCATGTTGTATGTTATTTATAACTTTGCAAGCTTTGACTACAATGCAATCAGGACAAGAGAAAAGGTTGTGTTCCTTGATGTTACTTCCAGTGATTTCTATCCCCATGTGCTTTTAGAGTTCCTCTTTGTGCATTAAATTATTGGTTCTTAGATTTTTGTCCTTTTGTCCTGTTGCCATGCTAACTTAAAAAGTGCTCCCCTCCTAATCAGCACCCCCATTTTAACTGAAATATTGAAGGAGTGCCCAAGCACTTATTTGAGGAAATACTGTACATCATGTTGCTCCCTGTGTTATGGTCGGGCCTTATTATTGTTTATACAGAAACCCATTTAACCCAACCTTACATCTGAAATGAAAAGATATAGTTATGAGTCAATAATTTCATCACATTTTTGTTTTTGTACCACATCCTTTTGAATTTTCACTTGGAATCTTGGGTGTTGGTGAAAGTTACTTTCAGGTGAACTGGAGCTGACTGAATCTTCAAAGTGTTGACACACTCAATACATCATATGTACTTCACATATACCAAGTACTAAGTTAATTCCACCCCCCTTTCCCATGGCAAAAGTTAAAAGTTCTGAATTTTAAAGGTAGTTGAAGATCAAGGCTAAGAAAAAAAACATTATTCTTGTTTGATAGGGACAACTGTCATACAAGATGATTCATGATTCAGGCAAACCAGGAGAGGTCATAATTAGTTACAGCAAGAAAGAAAATGGAACAGTATTAGTAATGGGTTGCCGAGGACTGGGCAAGCTTCGGAGAACATTGCTAGGGAGTGTCAGCGATTATGTTGTTCGGCATTCTTCCATACCTGTGATTGTGATACCTCCAGCTAAGTGATGGAGAGGCAACCAAGTAGTACAATAAGCATAGATTATTAATGAAGGAAAAGAAACATTGTTATTTAGAAAGCTACAAAATGCAGTGATGCAAGCTAGAGTCAAGTCAATCAATAGTATTTAGTGTTATTAAGTTGAAATAATTTTAGATTATATGAATAGAAATGATTTGTTTGACACACAATGCATCACTTCATAATTTAATGTACATGTTAGTGATATTCAGATACCTGTCAATCATTTTCGAGTCAAAGTAGTAGAATTTTTTTATTTTAGACAATTTAATTATGTCTGCAGATGCTTGTGGACTTTTGGGAACACTCCTTCCATTTCCAAAGTTGTCCCAGAGAGTTGCTTCACAACCTTTTCTTTGATGTCCCCTTTTCTTAAATCAGAGATGTTTGGGAAAGCATGATCACTTGCAAGAACCTATCTCTTCTTCATTTACTTTTTTGTTACCTTACGCACTTAAAGAAAATATGTCAGTCAAAACTTTAACATTAAAGGTCCAAATTTTATCACAGGTGTTAGATTTTGGCAGCTAGATAGAATTTACTATTAGTATTACTTAAGCTAAAACTGAGGTACAATCTATTTGTAATTTATTGTACAGTTGAACTACTATAATAAGTGTTCCCACCCCCCAGGCCATAAATTTCATAGAAGCACCCCTTCCCCTACAAAAACCTCCATGTGCCCACTGATTTTCATTAATAGTAGAGATACAAGAAAACCTGTTTCTATTGGCGTAATATTTATAACTTTTTAAGCTTCAACTACAGTGGAATTAGTACAGGAGAAATGTTTCTCTTCAATCTTGTTCCAGTTGTTTCCAACTCCACGTGCTTGCAGTGTTCTTTTGTGTGTCATCAGTTCTATTTATTTTCACCCATTGCTGGGCTAACTTATTAAGCACCCCCTTGATTAAGCCCCCTCCTTTCAATAGGTGCTGCCTTCCACCCCACCCTGCCCCACCCCCCTTTTAGCCATCAATCAGCATCTGGATCATCAAATCAGCACCTGGATGCTTATTTAAGGAAATATGGTATCTTTAAAGTTCCAAGGAACAATTAAAATCCTACTTATTTTGAACAACATAATCCAGGGGAACAAATTTTATGTACCATATCAGATATTGTTAAGAACAAATAATACCTAGCATTTTTAGGGAAAGTTGGGAAATATCCACACCATAACAGCAAATGATTACATAAATCTACTCTAAAGGAAGCTCTCTGATTTAAATATATAAAAATCAATATGAGAACACTTTGTTTGCACAACTACATACAAGAAAACTAATATTTCTGTCATTGTTTCAGTTCAATTGTCTTAAATCATTTGCATTGTGGTCTCTCATTTTCATTACAACCTACATATATAATTCAATAAAGGTTATCATGGATATTATTGGTTTTTTTATCACTTATACCCTTAAACTCCCATGAGTTGACCAAGACAGAATTTCTTCTTACACTATCAAGTAGACAAGTGCTGAATATTTCAAGTAGGGGATTATTAGTTGATCTGGCACCAATTTTCAAACCAACATTATAGAACTGTATGGAAGACAGTATGGGAAATTACTAAGAAAGATCTTGGGAGTGAAAGGTTTAACCCTTTAACTTGCATGAGTGACCGAGACAGAATTTCTCCTTACAATATCAAGCAGACAAGTGATGAGCATAAAGAAAAATATCAGTTAGGGGATTATAAGTTGATACAACACCAAATTCTCCAAACTAACATAACAACAACTGTATGGCACACAGTTAGGGGAATTACTAATGAGATCTTGGGAGTTAAAGGTTTAATACAGAGGATACATCTAACAGCACTATATACATCAAAGGTAGCCATTAGCTCTGCTTTCATGTGCCTAGTGATTATACATCTACATGTATCAGAGTACAATTAACATGAACATTGATTTGTTTATTGAAATCAGAGTGCAATCTCACAGTGAAAGTTATCAACTTACTATACAACTTCTAATGTACAACTTTACAAATCATTTGATGATTACCAGGCTGACAGAAATGTAAGAAATACTGCTATCTTATCTATGAGATTCCCCTTTACTGCCAACACATGCCAATAGTCTCATAGCTGTGTGTGACTCAAAGATTGTCCTAGACCACTGAGTTACTAACTATATTTAGTAGATGGCCTTCATCAATGTAAGTTAGCAAATCCATGATGCTCAAAGCGATCTGGAGGTGGAACAACTGACACAGGAACACTTGAATGGTGAAGACAGTAGTCACTTACACTCCCTACAAGAGCACGGCTTACTGTGCCCAACCCACGGGATCCCATTACCACGTGATCAACTTTTCTTTCTTTGATAACTTTACACACAGCCTCTCCTGGAGCTCCATTCTCCTTGATGAGCCGGCATTTCAGCTGCCAGAAAAATAAAAGATCCACTTTTCAGAAGAGTGAGAATCAAAATATACCAATAAAAGAGCAAAAGGTTAAATACAAATTTGTAAATATGCAAGTAGAGTAGATGTTCTTGCGAACTCTAGTGAGCATAAATATATGTTGCCATGCAATTCAACCATGGCAAATTCTTCAGGATCAATTCACCAAAAACAAGGAAGCTCTAAACCTGTATTAACTTGTATACAGATCTTTTCAAAAAGATAAATACTGATATGCAGAATGCAGGTCACCAAATTTGCCTTTGAGTCACAAGCATAGAAGACTGAAATTTAGAAAAAATGCTGCATAGGCTGAGGCTGCAGAGTTAATCACAAGCTAATAAGAAAGTTAAATATATCATTACGCAATTTCAAATAAAATGGAATGAAAGCTACAATCCATCCTGGATTGCATATATTGGTATTAATAAAAATAAAATAACCATTAAGTAAACCCAATTTGAGCAAAAACTGAGCACAGCCTATGTACATATACTGTATCTTTGGTTAAAATATCTCTGCAACATCTAGGATAAAATCTTTATATAGAGAGGCCTTCAAATACAAAATAATTTATTTATTTTGAGTTTTTTTAATGGAACTGTTACCTACATTGCTTTCTTGGCATTTCTTGTAGTAGGATTCTAAAAGTGTGCGGGCTTTTTGGTCACTTTCTTCAAGATGCTTCTTCCATCCATCAGTAAATTCAAAACCATCTAGAAAAACAAAATTTATCTAAATTAAACTATTAAAACTTACTAAATTAAAGACACCAAGAAAAAGTATTCATTTGCAATGAGAAACATATTCCATAATTCTTAAAGGCGTTGCAATTACAGCTTGTGCATTATAAAACAATTGAAGCTTCAGAATATGAAAACTTTTCATGAGGATGGAGAGACTGTACAAGAAGCTGTGGAAATAAATAAGAATATTGGAGTTGAAGTTTGAGAACTTCATGAGTTTTAATGAGCTTCACCTGAAAAGGTCACTTTTGCATTAGGATCTGCATAAATTGTTGCACTCACAGCCAGTGAATAAAAGCTATAACTGCAGAAATTTATAAGGCCTGAGCTGGCAGTGTATCTTTATAACACCATACCACAGAAGAAATTATTTTACAAGTACTGTAGAACCTTACATGGATATGGCGTGGCTGGTAGTGATGGTACCTCTGCTGCATGGAACACCAATATCTCATCATCCTTGCGATAAAAATTCTTTGTATACCCTGGGAAAACATAAGGAATTTATCATATACAATTCTCACTAAGCTGCATGAATGGTACCCATATTTTATCAAATACAAATAAAAGTGCTCTGATAAGCTGACAAATGCACAAGTGTGTAAATCAACTTTTTTGGCCTTAATAAGCATGTGCCACCAGAGAATTAAAGGATTGGTTTTAAGAGGCCTGAGTCTTAGCTAAGGGTAATTTCTAAATAAGTGTTGAAAGTAGTCCATGATTGCAATGGGTTGCTTCACTTTGCTCTCTGATTCAGGTCTTGAAAATAAAATTCACTCTCTTAGAAAATCAAATTCAAAACTTAATTCATTACCAACTTGGTTGCTCATGTTTTCCAAAGGTTTAGGCAATTTACAAATTTTTATTTCAAATTCTAATTGACTCCTAGTGACATTTTCCTTCGCATTGACTAGCTGTTACATGTATGATCATTACTGAGATTTTGGTTTCACCACAGTTGTTCAAAACGTGTTCTCAACATAGTACACAATTTCAGTATTTTACTAAAAGAATAGGATATTCTCAATTGGTATTGGCTTCTGCAGTAAGAAATCTTGAGTTGGATATTCAGTAACATATCAATAAAATAAAAAAAATTTAATCGTATCTTGGCATCATATGATGTTACTACATCAGTTAAAACTAAGAAACGTACGGAGGAACTAGACGGGAATTTTCCTCGACCAAAGCACCCTTTGGAGCAACTGCTTCATAAATTAAAACTGTCCCAGGACACCCATACGGAAAACGTGCTAAGCAAAGGTGCTTAATTGTCAAATAAATTTCCCAGATGAATTGGCACAGAGCTGTTAAGTAGAGTATAACCAGCTGACAACGATTATAAAAGACTGATAATGATCCAGTTGATATTTATTTGATCAAGAAAATATTCTCTCTGCAATAAGGTGGAGCAATCTAATTTGTCACCGTCGAATCCTCGGCGAGTGTGGAATATGGGAAATCATTGGTTTTTTTTTTGTTTTTTGAGTTGAGCCGGTCAAATAAAAACTGAAAGCTTTAAACATTTGAGCAGACAAGTTCAACGCCTCGTGTGTAGATAGGGGAAAAATAAGCTGCGATTTTACGGGAAAAAGATCGATCGTCCGAAAACAATGAATGTACCTAAGCCGAATAGGTCAATTATGCACTGCGAGTCACGAAAGACGCCAATACTCACAGTCAAAAGCTCTCTCGCTGTGTTCACTGCCATCAACAGGCACTAGTACTGTTCTCTTCTTAACGTCTTCTTGCTGCTTTGCCATACTTCTTTATTCGGTAGCGAATGAAATTATTTCACCAGCTTACTGTGTGTTAAGTACGTTCCCACCGGTCAGGGTCGTGAAAACTGGCACGTATCGCTGACACGTTCACACGCGTGATTTTTGTCACGAACCTCTTTTTCGTGAACGTGTGCGAAAAGATCCCGGATGGCTGTTGAAATATTAAAGAGGAATTAAAACAGAGGTGGTTAGGAGAATTTGAGAAAGTTATGCAAACCCCATACGCATAACTGTGAAGAGGAACACGGCTGAATCTCAACAGATCCTGTAATCGTTTTATGACAAGTGTAAACACAGGAAGACCACCTGATGAGTGCAACGTTAACAGGCAGGGCGAACTTCTCGCAAAATAAAGGAACGTATTGCGGTTGCTAATAAAGGATTGAAAAACAAGATAAACACCTTATCTCTATCAAACAAAACCTCAAGGAAGTGAAACGAAAAGTTTTTTTGCTTTCACGTGCCTTTTACAACGTCTTTACATGTAGCCCCCAATTTATATGCAGAGAGAAACTCGAGAACTCAACATCTAGAGCGACTAATCAGATTTCAGTAGTGCTGAAGTTACTCACAAATCGCACTCAACTCTTATCTAGTATTACTATTATTATTACTAAATGGTTAAGAATATATGAAAGTCATATATTTGAACTGCGGATAAAGACGTGAATGAAAGTGATCCTCGCAGTAAGTGATCCTCGTAGTAATGTGCACTACTGCCTAAGTAGTGCACATTACTACGAGGATCACTTTCATTCACGTCTTTATCCGCAGTTTAAATACACGACTTTCATATATTCTTAACCATTTATTCATCACTTCACGGGTTTATTTAGAACCAACTTCATGACCAGCTCCCAGTTGGCTTGTTAGCTCAGTTGGTAGAGCGCTGCACCGGTATCGCAGAGGTCATGGGTTCAAATCCCGTAGAGGCCTGAATTTTTTTTCAGGCCTTATTTTCACTACTGCCAAAGCAGTGCACATTACTGCGAGGATCACTTTCAATCACATATTATTATTACTATCATTATTTTTGTTGGTGGTGGATAGCTAACCTGATGAAGTGCCGCATTCATCTGTTCTGCAGTACGTCATGTTAATTACGTCCCACTGACTCGCCTTGAAGAAACCTGTAAATTGTGATGTGTCGTGACGGTATTATGAATCAGCTTATGTGCAAATAACTACAATAAACTCGAATATATATATTTTTACAGCGGCTCTCGGCCGCATCAACTGCGTTTGACTGTGTCAGTATGAAAGCTCGCCCGGCCAATCACGTTTTATTTACAAATACATTACCGTCACTAATATTCTGACCATTTTATGGCTAACGGTTAATTCCATTCCATTGCTGTTAAAGGAAAATTATCATAATGAACTTTTTTTACGACTGAAGATTAAATTCGTCTATTTTTATGTCTAACGGCTAAATGTTTTGCCGTTTTCCGGCAAACGATTAACCCCGTTGGGGCCCTCTCATTAATGCATTGGATTTGGCCTGGATATTTGCACGTGTCCGGGAATTCATGGATTACCACTCGTTTATTTTAAATTTCTGTTGCACCAATCTTATTGATTACAGGCGTTAAGGGGGTAAACTGAGCAAAATACAGATAAAAGCACAGTTGGTGGAGCCTCGCCTCTAAATTGGGTGGAAAAAAAAGCAGATTAACAGATAAAACTGAAGTGATTCATAGAATTGCGGAATGCCCTCAATGACATAGCTGAACTTAATCTCCTGCTCACGTGCACCTCTGAACAGACAGTAAAAACATATCCAGGTCGCGAAACTAAACGTTTTTTCATAGAGAAAAATTTGTCTCAAATCTCAATTATCACGTGTGTTATGCCCTCTTGTGTCGAACGTATGGTAAGCACTGGCGCGGTCAAGGTCATTACTGAGATCATCAAGGTAAAAAAATTGCCAAAACTGAAAGATGAATTACGTAACATAACTTTCACTTTGCAACGGTTGGTCCTCGGCCATTCCACTCCACCCGCTCAGTCGAACGGATCAGAAGGCAGATCATAGCACAAAATTAAACAGCTGAACTTAATTGATTCACATCATGAACTTTTACCCAAACAAAACTAAATCTAAAAGGTGAAGGAATAAGTAAAATCTGACATTTGGAGAGAACGTAAGTCGCGTTTTGTAAGCCTTAATTAAAACTTCACTCAGTCGAATAGAACAGAGGGCAGATCCTCGGAAAACAATCGTATTTTATTGATTCATATCAAAGGAACTTTTAATCAACCAAATCTAGGTTGACATAACCGAGTAAATTGGACAATCGAAACGGATATAAACTTTATACTGACTGACTGACTGAGTCATTTTGACCAGGATATGGAAAAATATAACAGTCATTGGTATGTTCTAAACATCCGAACTTTAAAATTGCGTTTTGTACTTCTTTAATATCAAATCAAATAAATTAATGATCCTTGCAGGAGTGCTCCAATTTAAGCAGTTATTTCATTAAAATTTTTCATATAAAAAACGTCAAATTTTATGTCTTAAGGCTTGGCATATAGCTCGACATGACTGACGCGAAGTTTTGATCAACTTCGAATTTAAGAAGAAGTACCTCGTTAAACCACCCATAGGCCGCCCCTCATTAATATACACGATAGCTCAAAATTTAAACTTCGAAAATCTACATCTGCTTTATTAACTGAACAGTTGAGACAGTAACATACGGCGCATATAACTAAACACTTAAGTACGTATCTTTTCATACCTACGGCACTGCATGATGGGCAGTTCAACCAAGAACATCGACCATGGTGCTATCACTACTGTATCACGAGGTGGCATGAGCTGACCAGACACTTTACTGCGCTTAATCTCAACAAATGAAATACATCATAGTTAAAGATGGACTCCAGATGAAGCTCGCATGATTCAAGTTTGCCTGCAGCTGATTCTAGGCTCGACCTAGGTATCCTATTTCGTCCCCAAATTCGCGTGTTTTGCGGCGGTCATCACATGATGTTATCATGTTCAATCCGAAAAGCTAGTGAAGCTCTTGACGTGGTGCCGTGACTTCTACAAAGTGGAAACACTTCTTTAATTCCTATTATCTCATTACACCGACAAGTTCGCGTGATACCGAGCGATTATCACCCGTAGCTGTCATATTCTATCGACAGTAGGAAAAAAACTTCATGGCCCGGTGTCTTCGCTCGTACAGATTGTAAATTCGTTTTTAAAAAAAAAATGGAACTTAAAACTGACACGTCCCAGCCGAAAAACGCATAAAACCGAAAAAAATTTCTTCACTGATCCAAAGATAATCTTTCCAGTAAATCACGTTCTTAACACAGCACGGTGTAACCTGGGGGTCAGACCTTTGATCGATGCAAGTTCATTGAAATCAATTCGAACCCGTTCATCGCGACAACAGAGCACTTAAAAGCTGTTCAAACTTCAGCTACTTTAGTTAACAAAAGTCCTAGTCGTGCTATCAGCGTTAGCAATCAGAGGTTATCCAGAAGCCAAAGAAATGGACAATAATACAGCAGGAGAGAGACGGATAGTGATTGGTGTGGATGGAAGCCAGCACAGTGCAAGAGCTTTCCAGTGTAAGTGGCAAATAAGTTGAAAAGTTTTCTTCAGATGCGAGCTTCACTTTCCTACTGTCTCACATCCGTTCTGGGTGAAGCTGAAGTTCTGCATCATAAGGGTTGTGTAACAGTTGTTAAGGTTTATAAACAATTACCTGATAACGACAAATCGGCTGGCCTTTCACCAAGGATCTTTTCATCGATTCTCCCTAATAACCAGCATACATTTATCATAATGACGGTTTTGGTGTCGGGTTAAGCCATACCCCCTGGGGGAGATTTTCTCTTGACAACGTATTTTAATTGTAAATAGAAATTATTTAATTAATAGACACGACGAGGAATGACTGGGTTGAAGTAGGGGTCTAGACACGAGTTTTGATATGAGTTTCGCCTTGACGGTTAAGTTGTGATGTATTAGTATTGCATCAGTACTATTAACCTCTTCACAATACTTGTAAGTCAGTTTAGCCCCTGTGCTGTTACCCAGTAATCGAGACAGAGGCTGAAGAAAAAGGAAGAAGATGAACAAAAAAGGCTTTGTTTTTAATTTTTGTTCCACCCATTCATGCACTTCTGTCAACTTCTCTTCAATACCTCACAACCGTTTACTTCTATTTTCCTTTCCAATACCTTACATCTTCCGATGAGACAGCGAGGGGCGGGGGTTACCGAAGGTTGTTGGCAAAGAATATGTTATAAACACTACAATCTTCTTGGTTTTGTTTAAGCGCTTTCTGCACGGCTTATTGGGAGGATAAAATTTTTTTCTTGTTATCTGTCAACGCTCTTATCAATTAATTTCATTGAATCGATTTCAGGGTTAGTCAAGAATATGTGTAACATGGAAACGGACCGACTACTTGTTGTTCATGCGTACGAGCCTCCGTCTATGGCAGTTTATCCCTACGCTCGTAAGTGTCACAAATTACGACTTAAACTACAATTAATATATCATGCATTAGGCTAAGAAAAAATTTATAACAAAGGGTAGCAGGTTGCCTATATTTCTTTTTTTTCCCCTTAAGTGTAATTCAAATGCTCAATACAAAGTGCTCATTCTTCCGAATCATACGTGAACAAAGTCATTACTTAAGGTATTTTTATTGGTGTAGCGCACAGACCTGAGTTCTCAAGACTACGAGAAAATAATGGCTTCTTGTCTGGGCCCAGGGAAATGTCAAATTCCCTTAAATTATTTACAGATACTCGTGGCTGGACCACCCCATGCGTGTCTTGACATGTAAGACTGACTTGAAAATTAGGTTTACAAATAAACGGCGGTTACATCTATAAAGTTCAGCATGGTAATACTTTCAGATTATAACCAAGCATTAAGAATCCGTTTTTCAAAATATTTGTAACACAACACCTCTTCGCGCTGCGAGGTGAGAGTCACGTTTCGCTGAAATCGAAAGGGATGTTTACTTGCACGTGTCTCGCATCGTTTTTCGTTTGGCACACAGAGAATGAAAAACATCTGTCTTCTTTCAGTTAGCCTTGGTCGCCTGTCAGTAAGATTAATGTAATGACTAACAGCAATGAGACTGGTTCTTTTGATATCAAACTGACATCGGTAAGGAGAAACTACATTAAGAGACCACAATGCTTTCTACCCAAGCTAAAAATAACAGAAGCGAGATCGACATATCCCAGCCAATGCCCTGGATTTTCCCTCTCTGTCCCTTTATTTTCTCTTGCTTGAACTGAATGCCTGGACATAACTAAGGAAAAATGTGCAACAGTATCACTAAATGTCAGTTCTTTCAGATGGTTCCGCATACTACGAGGCTATGCAACTCTCTCTGAAAAAAGACAAGAAAGAATTGGAAGAGCTGTGGCAGATGTATGAGAGGAAATGCAAGCACTACAAGGTTTATGAGATTTACTTTTAAGAATACGAATGAGCTTTGTTATATATAAAAAAACACTGCCTGATGTAGGCAAGGGAAATTTTTCGGCACCTCTCGTTTTAATTTCATTAAACCAATGGCAAAGCAAATACAACGTAAATCAGAATTTTAAGTAAGGACAAGCATGCAAACTGCTCATTATGTGTAAACGCGAGGAAGCAATTTTCAATCGAGTGTCGAAAGTAATCCGGAATTGCATTGGTTTTGCTTTACTTTGCACTGTGATTGGTCCAGAAAACTCGCGCCATTCTCTAAACCAATCAGGTTCAAACTAAAACCAATAACGACAGTTACTTGCCTTTTCCCGCACTTTAGGCCCGTTGCCATTTACTATGCATTCTCATTGGTATTTTGGGATATATTCCTTTTTCTGATAAGCCGTTTTATTCTTTTTGGTTTTGGTTTAGCATCAAGTAACCAGTGGCGGATCCAGGCCTTGAGCTAAAGGAGGGAGGGGGGGGCGGTTTTTGTCGCTTGCCCTGCCAGCTTTACTTCCTTCTACGATTCTTTTTTATTTATATTTTTTTAACCCAAAATAAGGGGGGGCCAGGGCCCCCCGAGTCCCCCGGGCTCCTCCCATAGGTAACTAATATATTTTGCTTTGTGCTTGGTTGATTGTGTGGACAGAGTTCTTTTCTGGTTCAAAGAAAGAGGGAGGTAGAGCAAAATCAATACAACACCCTATTTTGTTCGACACTCAATTGAAAATTCCTCTGACGAGTATGTTTAGAATCAAGAGGCTTCCTTGATCAAACGACGAACGTGAGACGATGAGCATGACTTTTTAAAGATATATTAAGTGCATGAATGTATTGCAAAAAAGAATGATACAAGCCAAGATTTGCCTAGTTTATTAGTTTATTGCAAAAACGTTAAAAGCGAAAACGGTGAAGCCTTGAAATTAACTATTAGATATTTGCTGACAATTGGATGCGTGGAGCTAAGATAATCTACGACTAATATTAAAGGGGGTAAGTTTTTAAAGAAATTGTAGTGCTGCGTCGGTGAGAGAGTATAGCAGGTAATTTAGTATTATCAGCTGAGTTGATAACGTAAATTGGCCACCGTAAAGAGTTTAAAGGCTGACGTTTCGGGCGTTAGCTCTTCGTCAATCGCTCTGACGAAGGGCTAACGCTCGAAACGTCAGCCTTTAAACTCTTTGCGGTGGACAATTTACGTTTTCGTCCCAGTTGTTAATACTAAATTATCTGTTACGACTACTTTTAGTTGAGGTTGCGGTTGTTTTTTTCCTTTGTTTAAAACCATCTTATAAGTGCGATTTAAAATAAGACATCCTGAAAGTAGTTTTGTATTGCTATGTTCTGACAGCTTAATTACAAGTTGTTCAATGAGGAAAGTTGCAAACCTGGAGAAGCGATCTGTAAAGTGGCAAACGAAGAAGATGCGCATTTCATCGTCGTGGGTTCCCGTGGCTGTGGAACACTGCGGCGGACATTCCTTGGTAGTGTCAGTGACTATTGTTTGCATCATGCTCATATTCCTGTAGCGATTATTCCACCTCCAAGCTAAATTGAAATGGCGGCCAAATTAACTACATCTTAAATCAAGACTTTACGTCTGCCATTAATTTGCGGAAAAATAATACTAAAGACAGATGTAAGCAAAGATTAAATTATTTTGAACAGAGACACTCTAGTAGATTATATATATAGTAGGTTATATACGATCAACGACAGATATAAGCAAAGATTAAAATATTTTTGAACAGAGACACTCTAGTAAATTTTATATATAGAGAGATCATATTTTATATACTGCAAATGTTAAAGGTGAACATATATTTAACTGACCAAGTTTTCACTGTATAGTAACCATGGATGGTGTATGACTTGTTTTCCATGATAAACTCAATAAAGTAATTCAGGTCTTGTGCCTTTAAACTTGTATAGCTTGATTTGATTCGAGGTGAAACGAGTATTTCTGTCGTGCGGTGGATGAAGATCCAGTTCATCGTTGGGTTCCTAACCAGGCATATTCCTGGGCAGGGGACAAGCATTGTAAAAGTTGCATATATTGCCCAGTTCCTCCCGGAAATCAAACCTGGATCTCTTGTTTTGGGGTCAGTTGTAGCAGCGTGGTTAGAGGCCTATAGCCATCTATCAATGTTACTTTAAGCATTAAGGTCCACCATGGACTGTTCTAAGCCGCAAACCTTTAATTTTTATCGTCGAATATATTTAATTATTAAATGTCTGACCCTTATCTCCTGGGGGAGGAGGGGTAAAGGATTTTTTGGAATCACATGGTTTTCAGGGGGAACGGAGGGTTATCAGTTGTCGCCAACAACCCTTCCCCCCTCTCAACTGCCATTGAGAGGGGGGGGGGGAAAGGATCATAAGATTAAAATTATCGAGACAACCAAAATCCTCCGACTCCCTCTAAGTGATTAAAAATGACTCGTCTCTGAATGTTGGGATCAAGTACCTCCGCTGAGTTGAGGTGGGAGAGGACAAAACGGGACACTGAAAAGTTAGCAGTTCTAGAGTTCGTTAATGGGGTGAGAGCTCGGATCCATGCGATAACGAGGGACTTACAAACCTTTTTGCTCACAAGGAGCACAAGAATAAGTTTTCCTTGACTTTCGCTGAAAATTTACTTTAAAAGTTTTGCTCGCCGTCATGGTTGTTCTAGACTCTGATACACTGCTGATGACGAAACAAAGACGTTGATGATGATAATGATAACAGTGATAATCATGATAGCAACGTTGATGAGAATTAAGATGCCTAGAGATATCTGTTTACTCAAAATAGATCTGAAACAATGAAAAATATACTAGTATTCTGTCCATTTTTCTGTTAACCCTGGTAATAAAATTTTCCTCTTAAATTGACTGTTCTTAATAGATAATGAGCGTCCCAACATGTCCTTATGCCAGAGTCGAATGCGTGCTGCCAAGTTCACTCAGTGATAGTCCTGCCACATGTAAGTCATCTTACACAATACTTGCAGTCTCGTCCCTAAAAAATACAAGGAACGTGACCTATGGGAACGAGTGTTTTTTTCTTTTTTGATTCCTTTCTTTTTTTTTTTTTGATGAGCTAAGACTAATGCCAGTATGCGCCTACGTCGGTTTCCCGCTCAAGAATCGCCAAAGAAAAGAAGCAGGAAAATACTTCGGAAAACAACAAAGATCGAGTATTTGAGACAACCTTTCTTGACATTTTTCCCTCTGTTACATAGATGGAGGCGTCAAAGTCCTAAATTGCTGTTGGGTGTGTGGAAGGAAGTGATTTTCAAAAAGCAAAAGATTATACAAACGACTTCCGAGTCTTGTTTTATGATTGTGTTGGCGATCGACGTAGATTATTTTATTTGTAAAGGATGCAAGAGGCCTGTCGAAGAGCACAAATGTATTGAATCGCATACTTTTATCATGTCATTGCTATCTCCCGTTACCGTTGATCATTTAAAGTACTCACTTAACTGTGAGCGTTTTGTAGAGCTTCAACTATACTGCTAGTACAACGTAATTGCAATTTTAGCGAAAAATAAAAGTTTACAGAAGTTTATATTTTGTTCCAAAAGTTTTTTTTTTGACATGAATCAGGCGGTTGTGACCGGGAAAAAAAAATGTCAATGTCGAGTAAAGAAAAGTAAGACAATGTTAGTACTCGAGATACGGTTGCTAGTTCAAAGGAGGGCGTGTTAGAGTGCGGAGTAAGCAAAACTCTTTTCAATCATCAGCCTCGGAAATATGATCAGATCTGATCAACAATGTGAGGAAATTGTGAATTAAAACAAGTACTAGTTTGGGCCTCCAGTTGTAAAATGAATAGTTAAATTGATCAATTATTTCCCAATAATTATTTTATTCATTTATCATTTCAATTGCACAAAAAAATCATGTATACTCTTTGCAACCTTATTCTCCAACCTATTAAATTACAAGAGTTGTTTGACAATCCATTGGTCTGAAAAGACTCTTATTATTACAAGCCAAACAACAAGAACCAGTACGACTGATATTAACTGTAAGGATGAAAAGCAAACATTTCCAAAAGCCTTTTTTCCCCGGGAACAAGACTAGTGAGGTCAGATTAAACAAATGTGGAGAGGTTTGTTGATCTCTTTATGAAAATGGATGATTTACACCTATCAGAGTTTAGAGAAATGAGACTTAAGTCAAAAGGGGACTTTGACATTGCATTTTCTGCAGTAGTGGCACCAGTTTGGATGCCTATATGAGGAAATTTCTAGTTTTCAGTCAGGTGTGTGGTTGCTCACATACAGAACAAACAATTTGAACGACTCAAACTATGCACAATTATTCAGTTAAATTGGCTGGGATAGGTGATAACGATCTTTAGTCCTATTTGACTTGAATTCTGCAGGTAAACAATTAATACAGTCATAATTTCCTGAGGTGTGCGTTGTGATCATGTCTTACCTAAAATTATACTTCTGATAAGGAGCAGTACTTCAAGTCGTGAGGAATAGTAGGTACCTCATTGTGCTACATATATTTTGGTGTGACCGGAAAACACAGGCTTGCTAACTAACTTTTGAAATTGTTACATAGGTAGGATACGATTGATCCACTAGTTATCTCGAGTTCAAAGAATCACATTTTGGCCAACTAAGTGTCATGCTTTTCAAATCCTCACTACATGTATGATAATTTTGGATGGAGAGGACAGTGAAGAATCCGTGCGAAATTCTATTAAAGAATCTGCCAGCAATGAATTTTAGGTCATAGGACCCAATGGCTTTGAATTTGTGAAAGTTTATCAAAAGAAAATAACTGGAGCTTGGTCGTAATTAAAAATATAACTACTCTGTTGTGAAGAAAATGGTTGGGCAAGGGCTGTTGTATGTAAAAGTAAGAGAAGGATTTGATTGTGTTCTGGAGAAAGCAATGATGATTCTGATGAAAACTTTCTTGTAAGTTCTTTCTCATGAGTGCACAGCGATGATAACAATGATGAGAAAAATTTGACTGTTGGAAATGAAGACAAGTCTTTTTAAGAGTGAACTTACAGGCGAGAGAACTAGTAAAGGTGAAACCACCAACCAACTTCATGAGCCTGACACTCCAATATAAAGCGGGATCAGGGTCAAAATCCAGTTCCAAATAGGTACAGCTTATTAGGAATGGGCACAGCTTCTTATAATTAGGAACAGGCACAGCGTAATAGGAACAGGCACAGCTTATTAGGAATAGGCACAGCGTATTAGGACCAGGCACAGCTTATTAGGAATAGGCACAGCGTATTAGCAACAGGAACAGCGTATTAGGACCAGGCACAACTTATTAGGAATACGCACAGCGTATAAGGACCAGGAACAGCTTATTAGGAATAGGCACAGCGTATTAGGAACAGGCATAGCGTATTATTTTGAATAAGTAAAGGTGAGGAGAGAGTAGAAACAAATAAAAACAGAAACTGAGTGGATTTCCTTCCGGGATTTGGGGAGGGCGATGTAATCAAGCCTCAGACAATAGCACGGCAGTAGTATATGTCGGTGGTTGAGGTGGTAGCCATTAAGGAAAAAGTATTTTGTACCACGTGACATTAATTGACCAATCAAATTTCGGGAATGGCAAAAAGGGTGAAAACTTGAAATGTCACCTAAGGAATAGCGTCACAAGAAAAAGGTGTCACGCTGTCACGCAAGCAAGGCAATCATGGACGGTCGCAAACCAGAAAAGACGTCCGTCCAGGATGTCCTTCTTTAATTAAAGACTTTATCTAATTTTTGTGTGAAGACCCTGTGGCCTAAGGGACAAGGCATCTGTTTACGAAAGAAAGGTCCCGGCTGGGTTGCAATCAGTTTTACTTTTCCTTTTCTATGTGTGGCAAAAGGCGCATACCCTTGTTTCATTACGCAAATCAGAAAAATTAGTCATTGTTGAGCCAGGGAGGTCGAGTAGTTAAGGCAATAGACTCAAGATCTGATGGGTTTACACCTGCGCGGATTCAAGTCCCGTTCCTGGTAACGAAGAAATAGATGTATTTATCAAACGTAATAAGTTGTTTATTTTTGCAAAACTCCTACTTACAAGCGGGACGTATGCTTCTTCCGAGTGATGAGCGCCCTTTTAAACGGGATAAAATGGTGTTTTACTAACACAAAATAATCTAAAAAGAATCATTACAAACGTGTGAAAAATGCGAAATTTGCATAATCTTATTCAGGTTATCTGCGAGTTCGAATCTAAATTTCACACGGATACCCGTGTTGAAACTCCCCATAATATGCTGAGGGAGGGAGAGGAAACTCTAAATGAGAGAGAGTTCCGGCATTATCTCTCTATATAACCTCTCTACAAATTGTCTACGTCTATGTAGAGGACTAAGTCGAGAGGACTAAACTGGACTGGGCCTGAGTAATGAGATGATGCAATCGGGGGGAAGGTGATCGGATCGACGGAGTATCGAGTACAGTAAAGATGTTGAGTTTTACAAATTATCTGTCGTTTTGCTGTTGTCTTTGACCTGATTTGGACTAACATCTAGGCGGTAATTTAATGACAACGTAAATGTAAAGTTTACGACTGTTGATCC